AGGCACCAGGGATATCAGAAAAATGAGCCAGTCGCCCGTCCAGGCCTCGAGGTCCCCCCTGCTGAAGCAAGCGAAAATTAATTGCTTTGCAGGGGGAGCGTCCGGAACAAGGCGCATTGCGCGCAGCGCCAATGCAGTCTTGTATATGTGTGTATGTAGATGTGTGTGTGTGTTCTTGGCGGGCGCTTTCTGGTCAGACCGCTCGGGCAAAGATCCATTACACAATGGTTATACTAAATGTTCGGGTCGGACGCACGCCTCCGAAGAGGGCACATGTTACTAGCATGTCCTTGTGCGTCCCAGGGAGGGGCGAAAACGAGGTCCCCAGGGATGAGGCCGAGAGCTGTGGGGCCGACGCTATGGACAAGCCGAGGCGTCGGAGCTCTGGGGCTTATAAGGGGTCTGGGGGCCCAGGGTCTGCCGAGTGGGCCCCCCCTCGCCCAAAAGGCGACAAAAAGGGTTGGACTTGTCCGACCCTCGTAGACTTCTTCGAGTCATTACGAAATTCCTTATTTCCGGCCTCCATGGGCCCTTACGGGGCCTCGGGACCGTCAAATAACAACTCTGGATGAAACGCCAGTCTTGGGGAATGGGTCGAGAACGCGTGGGGTCGACGTTATGAGCGAATCATCACGTCGGGGGTTCCGGACTGTGCGTGTGTTCATCCAGGCCTCCCAGATGGGTTCCGAGTGGATGGGATCGGAGGATGTCGCTTGCGGGCCGATGTGGAGCCCGACTGTCTCCACGCCGACGTCGCCAATGCATCGCCGACGTCCCCGATGCATCGGAGATGCGGCGCGACCTTCCGACCCTCGGACCGGACTTTTGCTCGCGAGCGCGCGTCGCTCCGCCAGCTCTGCCCCTTCCACGCCTCCGCGCGACACGCTATCTACTTCGCGGTCCCCATGCGTCCACGTCCCGAGTTTTTCCCGGCCTCCTGCCCCGCGGAACGGGGCGACACGCTATGTTTTTGCAGGGCGTGGCGGGTCGCCCAGGCCGCCGCCGCGACACGCTGAGCAAAAAAAACGACTACTGAGGATTCCATTTGCATTCGTTCTGGCGAACCCCGATACCACTGCTCCCTGGACCACTCCCCGGGCGCGTTCTGAAAACAGCACTTCGGGGCGCAGCCGGGGGTGGCGACGAGGGCCTTCCCAGAGGCCCCAGGAGAGGCGAGAGCGACCACGACGTTGCGGTGTGGCTGCTGTGTGCCCCCCCTTTCCCGGCTCTGGGGCCCTGCGGGTGCCCGCTCGGCTCGGCGGGTCTCCGGAGCTCCCGGCCTCGGCCGCGCGCGGTGGTAGGCGCGGCGTGGCCCCCCCCCTCGCTGCGTGCGCGCCCCCCGCGGCGCCGCGGGGCCGTGGCCGTCCCCTCCCGGGGCGCGGCGCGAAGCCGCGGAGCGGAGGTGCAAAGGGCGCGGAGGCGAGGGCGTGGCGCGCGGCGCGGGGCGGAGGTTCGGCACCTGCACAGCGGGAAACCGACCCCTCTCCCCACAACTACGCATCTCACGTGTCAGCGTTTTGCATCTATGGCGGATGTGCGTAAGTGTAGGCGCCCTGTCGGCGAGGCCACTGCCAGCTGCTGCAAGGGGGCCCCGCGCGCGCGGCGACGTCCTGAGGCCACTCGACGCGGCCGCGCCGCGCCGCGCCTGAGGGATGCGGGGGCTCGCTTTTGGGAGTCGCTGTTGGGCAGATCTGGCAGTTTCCTACCTCTTCGCCAGGTTGCCACAGTGCACCCTTGATTGCCTACGCGTCCGTCCGGATGCTTGGTTTTGGCTTGCTTGCTTGCTTGCTTGCTTGCTTGCTTGCTTCCTTGCTTGCTTGCTTGCTTGGGGGCGGGTCCTGCGCTTGGCATCGCTCGGCCGCGTGCATTGTTTCTCGAAGAGGGCCATCGAAGCGCAGATCGGATCATCTTATGAGACGACAGGCGCGCAATATCGAACAATGTACGGGGAATGGAGGTCGGAGCGATGGCGAGTGAGATTCGTCGCCGTTTTCGGGCTCTCGGAGCCCTCCACGGGCCCCGGGACGGTCAGAAGACTGCTTGGGATGACAAGCTCGTCCTGTGGGTAGGCACTGGGGTTCAGCATCCATTTCCCTCAGGACCCGTTTCCCCCATGCTAAGGCAATCGAAGGAGAAAACACAACATAACATGATTATACTTCCGGGGGGGGCGCCGAGAAGGGGTTCGGGAAGAATTGGACCGATGGGAGGAGTCGACGCCCAGGCTGACCTAACCTAATTTCGCTGGGAGAAGACAGAACTTACTAAACGTAAACTGTCAGATGTCCGCGCGGATTTCTCGGATCGGCGCTGGAGGCGCCGCCCATGGCGCGCTCCGCCCGCCAGGGAGGGGTGCCCAGCGCCGATCCAAGAAATCCGGCGGGCCTCCGACCGTTTACGTTTTTATGCAGTTCCCCTTTCTCCCAGCGAGGTTGGGTCAACCTGGATGTGGCTGGTTTCTGAGCTTCCCTGCCCTCCGCAGACGCCTAGCGTTGGCCTCCAGAGCCCCACGCCCTTCTCGAGTCCCTGCCTGTGACCTCCTCCTCCTCCTCCTCCTCCTGTACCCTCCGCTCCCTCCCTCGGTCCAGCTCTTCGCCCCGAGTCGCTCTGCTCGGCCGCCCTGCCCGGGCGACAAAAGTGGGCCTTCGCAGGCCCCTCGTTGGCCAACCGCTTACCCAGTTTGTGTCTTGAGCCAGCGGATGCCTGGGGCGGTGGGGCCGACCGACCACGGGGCTCCCACCACGCATGTAGGATATCTACTACAGGATCGATTTGCCCCAATATAGATTTTCCGTCGAACCTACGAAACATACCCACCATGCTCCGCAGATCTACTGACTATTCTCCGTATGTTTCTTCCTACGGCTTCGACGAGAAAATCGATCTTTGGGGCCAACCAACAATTCTGTAGTCGATCCCCTACTCGAATCACGCGGTCGCTTACCCGGGCGCCCCTGCCATGCTGGAGGGCCCCGGGGCGCAGGCGCCCATGCTGGCGCCCCCGCTGCAGGGGCCAGCCGGCCTGGGCTGCGGCGCGGCCATCCCGGCGGCGCTCACAGGGGGCCTGGGCGGCGCAGGGGGGGGGCCCTTCGCCGTCGTTTCGTACTGAAGGCTTCGACTAGGGGATCGTCTGCAGAGTCGATTTACCCCAAAGTTGATTTTCTCGTCGAGTCATAATTACGTAGACTAGTCCGTAGATCTACGAGCATTCTGTGCGCCTCTCATGGATCCCACGGGCAAGTCCATGTTGGGGAAAGCGAGCCGTGTAGTCGATCCCGTACTCGAAGGCTTCTGGAACGTTTCTGGGGGCTCTCGTCGCCACGGCGGGGCGCGGCTCGAAGGGGCCTGCGAGGAGGGGTCTCGGGAGGGGTCCGAGGGGGGGGGGCCCGAGGTCTTGGAGCGGGTGCCGGGGCGTGGGCGGGGCGAGGGGGGGCGGCCTCGCCACCTCCCACGGGCGAGGGCAGGGGGGCTCCCCAGCAGGCCCTCCGGCAGGGGGCCTGGAGGGCCCGGGGGCCTCTCTGCCCTCCCTGGCCCGCTCGGCCTCCTCACGAGGCCCCCCCGCCCTCGCGCCAGCCCCCCCGTGCGCGCCACCACGCCGTCACCGCCGTGGTCTCTCTGGGGCTGCCGGCCCTGCTGGAGATCTTCGCCGGGTGGGCCCGAAGAGGCGAGGCCTGCGACCAGCCCCTGGCCGCGTGGCTGCTCGCCGACGGCGCCGCCGGCCTGACCGCCACGATCCTGATCTCCGCGTGCCTGTGCACCGTCTGCGCCGCGAGCCAGCGCGAGGGCGCCACGCAGGTCCACAGACAGGAGGAGCACGCGCTCGCCAGCGGCACCGCCAACGTGGCCTACCAGGCGCAGAGCAAGCAGCTGAACGGCTGCGAGAGCTGCGTCCTGCAGTCCCAGTGCTGCGCGCTGCTGCTCCCCGCGCTCCTGTGGCTGCTGGGATGCCTGCTGCACGGCCTGGCAGGGAGGTGCAGCGGTGGTCTCCGTGGGTGGACGCTGGCCGCGCTGGTCTACAAGCCGTTCTCGTCTGCCGCGACGGCCTGCTGCATTTTGCCTCGGCTCTTCCTCGCTTAGGCGGCGGGGCGCCACTGCTGTGCTTGGGCGGGTCAGCTGCCTGTGTCACTCACCGTTTCACCGTTTAGATTGTTAGTCCGGGGTGATCTCAGCAGCGGCCAGGGAAGAATCGCTCCGCACCAGCAAGAGTGTCTAGACTGCGAAGTTCGCCTCAGTGCCGTCGGTGCCAGCAGGAGCAGGTGGAGAAGGTGAGGTGGGCTTGGGGCGCGGCGGCGGGTGGTGCGTGCACGTCTAAGGAGAATTCCTGTCCCTAGTTGCCTGGGCTTAGAGGCTGTGTGGCTCCTTCAGGGGCGCCCAGCCTTCCTCCGCCCCCAGACCCCCGCAGAAACATCCCTGGAGCGCCCGTGGAACCCTAGAGCCATCGAGCATCGTCTTCTGTACTTCCCTCTTTCCTGCCCACCCTCCGCCCTCCTGCCCCTCGCAGGCACGGGCGTGGAGGGAGGGATGCAAGGCTGCGGCCGCTGCTGCCACCGCCGCCGCTGACAGGTCCGAGGGGGCTTGCAAGGCAGGGCAGGGCGAGCGAGTGTGAGCGTGCTCGTGGTACCAACCTGTACCTCTCAGAGTTATCCCAGGATCGTCCGCCCTCCACTGGCCCTGGCAGTAGCTCTGTTTTGCAGGGGCCGTGGATGCGGTCGCGGGCACCACCAGGGGGGGCCCACTGAGGTGGCCACGGGGGCGGGGGCGGCCAGGGGGTCGCGCACGGCCGACAGGCCTAGTACCAGCAAGGCCGACAACGCACTCTCAGGCCCTGCTTCTCTGACCCACCCCCAGACGCGGCAATCGACGAGGCGAGCCCCGGGAGCAGAGGCCAGGTGCCCGCCGCAGCTTGCCATGCGACCCCTCCGCACCGGGAGGGCAGCGGGCCGCGCCTCGCAGGAGGAGCATGCGGCCGAGAGGGCCCCGCGCGCCTTCCGCGCGCACAGGTGGCAGGGGAGCACGGCCTGGCGCCCGCGCAGCTGGCGCCGATCGGCAGGCTGAAGCAGGCGCCCGCCCCCGGGGCTCCTCCGCGGCCGGTGCCGTCGTCGTCCTCGTCCTCGTCCTCGTCCTCGTCCTCGTCCTCGTCATCGTCCTCGTCCTCGTCATCGTCATCGTCATCGTCGCCGCTGCTGTCGTCGTCGCCGCTGCTGTCGTCGCCGCCGCAACTGTCGTCGCCGCCGTCACCGCGGCCGCCGTTGCCAGCGTCGCCGCCGACGCCGCCGTCTTCGCCGCTGCCGCGCCTGTTGCCGCCGCCGCCGCAGCTGTCGTCGCTGTCGTCGTCGTGGCCGCCATCGTCGTTGCCCGCCCAGGGCCCTTGCGTGACTGTCGCAGTCGTTGCCGCTGTCGGCGTGGCGAGGGGAGAGTGGCCTCGTCGTGCTCCTCGTCCTCCGCTCCACCGCGTGCCGCGGTGCTAGGCTGTGCCCCGTCCTCGCTGCCAGCTGAGTCACTTCGGGACCCCCTTCCAGCGGCTGCTCCAGCGTGGTCATCGGCCGAGGGCCCCGGCTGCGCAGGGGTGCCAAGAGGTCCTCTCTGGTGAGCCGCGCCGGGTTCGGTGTGGTGACTTCATTGGACCCTCCCCGTGGCGAGCCGACCTCGTTCCTGCTCCTCCCCCCCGACCTTCCCGGGGCAGAGGCGGGGAGGACGGGCTCATGAGGCACTGGGTCGGACGAGAGGGGGGATTGGCAAAGGCGGGGAGGGCGAAATCGGCTGCATGCTGCTGGTTTCGCGGCCCGCCGCCGGGCGCTGTTCCCGATACACCGGCGCCGACGGGCGCCGGACGGCGCCGCAGAAGCCAGTGCTGATTCGCTAGCCCCCCCGAACTTTGCGACCCCCCCGTCTCGTCCGACCCGAGACGCAGGCTCGCAGCTGGGGGCCGCGGCGCGACGGCCCAGGCATTCAGTGTCCTTTGGGGTGTTTTTTTTTGTTTTGTGTGTGTGTGTCTGTGTCTGTGTCTGTGTCTGTGTCTGTGTCTGTGTCTGTGTCTGTGTCTGTGTCTGTGTCTGTGTCTGTGTCTGTGTGTGTCTGTGTGTGTGTCTGTGTGTGTCTGTGTGTGTCTGTGTGTGTGTTTGTGTGTGTGTGTGTGTGTGTGTGTGTGTGTGTGTGTGTGTGTGTGTGTGTGTGTGTGTGTGTGTGGGTGGGGGGGGGAGCGGAGATTTTCGGAGGCTCTCGAAGGCCTTCGGATGTCTTCGGGGGTTCCCGGAGGTCTTCGGAAGTTCTTGCTGTGGGAGGTGGGGGGGAGAGGACGACAACGACGAGGAATTTGGGGAGGCCTTGTTGGAGGATGAGGGCGATGTCGGTTGCGAGGAGGAGAAGAGGAATGTGGTGCCGTTCTTGCTCTTCGCATCCACGTTCCCACTTCCATAGCATGTCGAATGGCCTTCGGCCCATCCCGCAACCACGCCTGAGTTCTGTGTATTGGGCCTATTGGATGTTCGTTGGCATCTCGTTGTGGGCCTCTCGGGGGCCTTTTGGATGCAGTTTTGTGGCCTCTTGGGGGCAGGTTTGGAGCCTTTTGGGGCTTCTTTTGGGCCTTCGGTGGCCTCTTGGGGCCTCTTGGGGGCCCCTTAGGGGCCTCTTCGGGGCCTCTTGAGGATCTCTTGGAGCGGAAGGCTCAGATTTTCGGTTCGTGTTCCCTCTCTTGGGCCCTCTTGGGGCCGTCTTGGGGCTCTCTTGGGCCGTCTTGGGTACTTCTAGGGTCGTTTTGGGACGCTCTTAGGCCGTCTTGGGTCCCTCTTGGAGGCCTCTTGGGTCGTCTTCAAGTGGTCTTTGGGGCCTCTTGGGCCGTCTTGGAGCGTCGGAAAGCCGAAAAACGAGGAGAACGCCTAAATCCTTGAAAAACCTAAGCGGAAGCAATAATGTATGCCTCTTGGGAGGCCTCTTGGAGGCCTCTTGTGGCGTCTTGGTGGCCTCTTGAAGAATCTTGAGGCCATCTTGGGCGTCTTGCAGCGATCGTTCGGCGACTCGGGGCCTTCTTGAACTCATGGGAGGATTCCAGAGGCCGCTTCGCGGGGGGGCGCAGCGTCCATAGGAGGCGCAGAAAAGACCTCAGAACTCACGGGGGCCAGCCCCCAAAAAACACAGAAAAGACCTGGGAGAGACTTGCAATTCTCGCAGCAGCAGCAGCAGCACAGCGTCTTCCTCTCAGTGCTGCATGAGCTTTGGGGGACTCCACTTCGTGACAGGGGCACGGTGGCGAATTTGTGCAGGAGCAGTGCATGGCAAACCGTAGGCTATGACACACTGTAGCAAGGTTGGCTGAAGCCGATCTGTTGGCTTCAACCAGATATAATCAATTCACAGTTTTCCTTGCGCACGGCCACTTCGAGTTTGGAGATACCCCAGGCCGCAATTTCACCTCATCGGGCTCTTCCTCTCTCCCACGTAACCATGATCACCAGCGATGCACGTGAGGGTAGTCGGGTGAGGTGTGTGTGTGTGGCAATGATACAGCGATGCTTCAGACCCGTCCGAGTTTGTCAGCTCTTGCCATTCACCCTTCTCTTGCGCCGACCCAGGCCAGGGCTGCAACGTCAGGGTTCATCAACTTGTCACTTTGGGCCAGAGCCCTGGTGGCGGGACCCTGTTGGCAACCGCCAGGACCAAAACAGACAGGGACAGAATTCAGGCTGAGACAACGTGGGTGAGCTCGTCTGGGCCAGGTCTGGGCATCCAGCACCCAGGGAGTCTCAGGCCTGAGCCCTGCGGGCAGCCGCCAGAGACCCAACAGCCGTGGGCAGTGTTGCACAAGCCGAGCCAGAGCCGCCTAGAGCAGGTATTGCTAACCAACCCACTGAATGGTATCGCGAATTATTTGCGTAGCCTCATTTCAGCTTATCCCCATCACCAGTACTATCCACGCCACCGTCACCTTCAGAGGGATGTTGATTCAACGTTTCAAGTTCTTACTGCTACTCCTGATTTCCATATTTTGGTTTCCAAAGGGCTAGAGTGTTGATTGCTTGAGTGCTTCTCTTCCTTGCCTCTACAGACCCGGCCGCCCGCGAGCGTGCCTCCCTCTCGAGGTCCAGCGCTGCAAGCGGGTGGTCTTGGAGCGGGCCTCTTCGTATGACGGCGCCATTGTGTTGGTCATGATGCCGGAGGGCGAGCACGAGCGAGCCAGGCTGTCCGCAGGGGCTCGGGGCGGAGGGGTCTCAGCGGTGGCGATGTGGCGCGAGCTTGGGCGCTTTCGGGGTCCGAACCTGCGGTAGCAACAGAAAGGGTGGCAGCGGCATCATCCGTCGCGGCATCACTGGCATCAGTAGCAGCATTGGCAGCATCAGTACATGCGATGGTATCAGTGTAAGGACTGGTAGCTGTAGGACCAGCAGCGGCAGTCGCAACGTCGTGATTTTCTTTCGCACTAGTCGTCTCATTCGCTCTTGGCCGCCCGCCAGCAAGTAGCACGTATCGCATCTCAGTCAGTAGCTATTGCGCAGCGGATGGACGGAACTGATGCACAGTAGGATGTAATGGGTAATCTGCGAGTAGTAAGTCAGTAGTGCGGACGGCGTAGTATCCCGCGTCTACTGTTTAGTAATTCAGTGGGTAGTGGATGGTCGTAGTATTTCGCAGCGACCATGATAACATATGGTGTCGCACGTCGAGCGCAGTGGAGAATGCCTAGTATTAAATAGATTAGATTCGCCAGGAAATGATACGCTGTAAGTAGCGAGTGCTGCATGGAAGCGATATGTCTGAAGCTCTATCATCAGTGCTTGTATCGAAGGCGATCCCGCCGAGTTTTTCGCGACTTGGCGAACGCGCAGGGCCGATGTCGGTGATTCCGGGGGGACGGCTGGGTTCTCCGGCTCCCGAGATTGTTCCCCAATCAGAGCCTCGATCGAGAATGGTGCTCGCAGATGTTGTGGGGATTGGCGGCAGTGGGCCGCGATATCGGTGTGCAGCCAGGTTCCTCGGTTTCTGGTTTCGAATGTTGCCTCCTTCGAGCTTTGAGTTGCGGGCCTTTATGCTTCCCCGAGCGAATGTGGCCCTCGGCCTCCTCCTCCTCTTCTCCTCTCCTTTTCATATCATCTCCTCTCCTCTCCTGCACAATTGCGCACTGCGAATACTACGCTGCTCTCTCCCCTGACCCTGTCCGGGAAATGTCCCGCCCTCTCTCGCACCGTTTCCCTCACCTGGCGGATGTTCTCTTCCCCTGGCGCCACTGGCAACTACCGCTCAACTGTCGGCTACGTCCACCACTTGCTGGGAGCCCTGTCTTTTCACACAGGAGTTGACGGAAGTGCTGCTTCTGACGGCTTTCGATCCGATTAATTTACACCTGAGAAACCCGATCAGTGGATGATTTGAACATTGATTTCATGGATCTTGAGATCGATAACGAGAACGATAGTGTAATCGATAGTGAGGACGATTGTAAGGTCGATCGTGAGGCCGAGAGTGAAATCGATTTAATGAGATCGATAGTCGATGGTGAGATCGATCGCGAGATCGCTCATGCGATCTCTAGTGAGATCGTTGGTGAGATTGATACTGCGATCGATTGTGAGATCGATGGTGAGATCGACCGAGAAGTCGGTAATGAGATCGATGGTGAGACCGATCGATAAGAAGATCGTCCAGGAAACGGGGAACCTCGCCGCCCTCCGAAATCGGTCCGGAACCCGGAAATCGGGCCGGTCGGGAACCCGGAACTGGGACCCCGGCAACCCAGGAACCCAGCTTGCCACCAACATCGGCGGGGAACTTTCGCCAAACCCTTCAACATCCGCTAGGACCCGTTCAGTGCAATCACTGATTGGGGAATATCGGTGTTTCAAGATGGTGTTCCCGATGCAGCGCGGGTCTCATTTTCTGGTCCGCGCTTTGCTTCCGTCGTTCAGAATGGCGCTCTTGCCCCAGCGCGGGCCACCTTTCTGTATCCGAAGCCTTCATCATCGTTGTCGCCCGCCTCCTTTCTCATCCGCCTTCTCCTGGTCCTTCTGATCCTGCTGCTCCTTCCGCTCTAAATCCAGCGGCTGCTGTTCGTCCGCGTCCTCCTCCTCCTCCTCCTCCTCCTTCCTCATTATCCTCCTTTTCTTCGTGCTCTGCTCCCCCTTTCCGAGTGCGCATGACACAATGGATGGGGTCTCTGGGGGAGTTCCAGGTCCGCCACGACACGCGCTCGCGGATCGATAAACAATCCGCGCCAGGGGAAGGGATGGGCGGAAGGGGCCAGATGTCAGATGTGGCGCGAGCGCACCTGGCCTGTCCTCCTCCCATCTCCTCCTTCCTCTCTCCTGCCTCTCCTGCGCCTCCTCCTCCTCCTCTTCCTCATCCTGCTCCTCCTCTTCCTGCTCCTCCTCCTCACCCTCTCCTGCCCCTCCTCCTCCTCCTCCTCCTCCTCCTCCTCATCCTATCTCCTCCTCCCTCTCTCCTGCCCCTCTCCTCTGGAGACCCCCCCCCACACACCGCCGACGTCAAAAGGCTCCCCGCCGTCCTAAAGCTCCAGCCCGCGGGCCTCGTGCGGGAGGACCTCCAGGCGCTGCGCGCCGTGCGGCGCGACCTCGGCCACGCGTGCCCCGAGGCCGCCGCCGGCTCCAGCGCCGTCGTCATCGTCGTCGTCGTCGGCGTCGGCGTCGGCGTCGTCGCCGTCGTCTTCGTCGTCGTCGTCGGCGTCGCTATCATCGTTCCCTTTGTCGTCGTCGTCGTCGTCGTTGTCGTCGTCGTCGTCGTCGTCTGTTCCCCAGGCTCGGTGCGGAGCGTCCCAGCAGGCCGCAAGACGTCTCCGAGGCGGCCCCCAATACCAATACCAGCCCCTGGAGTCCCTCCCAGAGGATCCCAAGAGGCCTACCAGATGCCCGTCGGCAAGCCCTCAAGAGGCGAAACCTCCCCAGCGTTTGCCAAACGAGCTGCAGGGCAGGGATCGGGCTTGACGCTCAGTGGTATCTAGGTGCCTCCTGGTATTGTCTGACAGCGTCTGGGCAGAGTCTGGCTGCAGCTTTCGATGCGCATGTCGTGACCTGGCCAGTCGCTCGATTCGGCCTGACTCCAGATCATCCGGTTCACTACTTGGCAGCTTCGATTACGGTCTTCAATTCGATGGAAGTGTACAAATCCGGGGGGGACATCGAAGGCGTGGGCAGCTGCCGCGCGCCAGTGCGGTGCTCTCGTCTGGCTCTAGCTGGGGCTGACTCGCAGCTTGGGGGATCCGCGAGGGGACGGGCAAGGGGAGGGGGGATCGGAAGGGAGGAGAGGGGAGAAGAGGACATCGACGGATGTGCCGGTGGCCTGAACTGGTGTTTTGGGGGGTGGAGAGGGTCAGGAGGGGGAGGGTGCCAACTGCACACCCGCACGGCTCCCGACCAGGCTGATCCTGGGCCGAGGATCCGAATATCCGCCCTCGCGCGGCCGATCCGATCCGATCCCGGGCTACGCGCCGGTCTCGGGCCATTCCGACGCAGGATGCGGGGCGGGGGTGGTGACTGAGGGGGGGGGTGCGTATCATGGCGTGGGCCACGATCTTTCCTCAGATTTCATGGCGCCCCTTCTTATTTCCTTACGTCCCTGCCCCCCCCCCCTGGGTCGCGCACATACCGCCGGCCATGATTTGCGCCCCCCCCCCTCTTGGACGCCCCCCTCTTGGACACCCCCGAAGGATGCGGCCCGATCCGAGTTCTCGCTTCGAGTCTGGCTACTCCTGCCCCTTCCCTGCCTGGGGCAGCTCTCTCGCGCCCCGGGCCGGTTCTCCGCGGGCCGTCGGGGCCCGAAGCGGCCACGCGGAAGCAAGTGTGGACTTTTCGCCAGAGTGACCTCTGGCTCGGCATCGCTCGGACCTGTGCACCCTTTCTCGGCGAGGACCATCGAGGAGCATCTTTGACTCATCGGGCAGCAGGTCATGTACGAAATCGAACAATGCACAGGGAATGGACGTCCGAGCGGTGGCGAGCTGGTGCGGGCCCACAGGGATCCCTCTAGCAGTTGCTTGCGCGCACGGATCTGGTCTGCCAATCCGCGGCCGCCTAACGCCGCACATCAAACTTTGAGCTCCGACGTCGTGGAAAAATCCGGCATCTCGACACATCACGGCCGGAGCCCCGGAGCCCATCGTTCTGCTGCGTTTGACCGAGCCAGATCGATCTGTGAGGGCCCCGTTGCACGAAGCCGCGCGAAGACGCCCAGCTCGAAAAAAATGGGATGTCAGGCTTTCGAGCAAGGTGACTCCTGCCTACGGGTCACTCATTCGTGTAGGGATTCCCGGCTTCTCGCAATGTTGGCACAATTTCTCGCCACGCCGATCTCGTCTTTCCAGTCCGAGGCCCTTGCGCTTGAGGAGTGCACGATTTTCTTACTGAGGCTTCTGACCGGCTCACGCGGTGGCGCGAGCGGCCCTCGAGATGGTCCGCCCGCTTTTGAATAATGAGTGAGTAGCGATACAGAGCTGACCCCGGGAGGAGCTCCCCGCTTTGCAGGGAGGAGGATGAGGATGAGGATGATGATGATGGTGATGATGAGGAGCAGGAGGAGGAGGAGGAGGAGGAGGAGGAGGAGGAGGAGGAGGAGGAGGAGGAGGGGGGGGGAGGAGGAGGAGGGTGAGGAGGAGGAGGAGGGCGAGGAGGAGGAGGAGGAGGAGGAGGAGGAGGAGGAGGAGGAGGCAGGAGTCCGAGAGCAGTCGCAGAGCACCTCGGCACGGCCCAGAAGAGGCACACCGCCGGAGGCTACGGCGCTACCCTGCCTGCAGCCCCGCGCCCTTCGGGCCCGCCGCCTCAGTTCGTCGATGCCGCGTACTGCGACGACCAGGGCGTGCTGCAGCTGGAGCTGACGGGCAGCAGGTGCTCTCTGCCGAGGCCCCGCCCCCGCTTGCCGCTCTGGGCGCAGGTCGTGGCTGTGTGTGCCTCGGGGCCCTGCTGGGGGCCCGAGGCGGCCCAGCACTGGTTCTGGCCAGCCGAAGGGTGGGGGGGCGAGGTTCGAGGCGCGGGGCTCGAGGCAGTTTGTTACATCTTTTCGCTTGGGGCGGCCGTTGTCGTGCCCTGGAACGGGCAATTACGCGACCGAGGAACCTCACTCTTGATTCCTTGTTGATAGATGTTGCCAACATCACTGCTAATTCCAAGGTCGCTGGTAAGACTACCAGCGACGTCGATCACCTTCCCGTAGAATTTAGCGCTAGCTCCGCCGAGCATGTCAGGCTGCAACGCGAGCAGACGAAGCATAGGTACATCCATTATGTAGTATACATCATTGGTTGAGTACTTGTTGAGCGCTCTCCGCAAGTTTGCGTCGTCGCCCCTTCTCAATGGTCGGTACTCTGGATCCGCATCTCGCTTGGCTGCGAATTCTTTGTACCACATGACCGCTCTCTTCTCCGCTTCGGAGAGCATAGCTGCCGCGCTCAGGGACCACCTCCTGTGCACCCCCTTATGGTGCCGAGAAAGTGCCAAGCCTGCTCTGCCTGGACGACCGGCACGGATAGCCCACAAAGGTTTTTAGAACCCCCCTTCCCCAAACATTGAAAGTTATTATTTTTCGGCGGCCTTATTGACGGACTGGTGTCCCACCAGTAGATGGAAATTGATGGTTGTTCCACGCGGAGCCCGCCAGCAGCTCTCTCATGGAAAATCTTGGTTCAGACACTTGGCGCTAAGAAACTTTATCTCGAAAGCTCCATCCTGCGAAGGACTGTTGAAGCTCAGGCCTCGCGCGGGCCCTCAGAAAATCCATCCTCTGTCGCGTGGACAGTACAAAGCTATGGCCAGTTCTTTAGTGCCCACAGTGGAGAAGTCGCCATATTGGCCGCGCGCGCTCCGACCAGGCGCCAGCAGGAGTTCTGCCCGCAGTGCTATGCAGGCGACTTGAGAGCAAACTCGCGAATCAAAACGACGAAAATCCGATTGCAATCCCTATGCGGAGATGCTTACAATCCTCCCGCGTGCAGGGTCGCTCACAGCAGATTATTATGTTGGAGAAATAAACCCCCAAACATTACCCAGCCCGCCCAACAATATATGGAAATTGATCCCACGTCGCCGCACGCGCTGACCAGATGCCAGCAGGAGTTGTGCCACTGGAGCTAGGCAGATGAGTTTGACCAAAACCGCGAATCCTCATGCAATCCTCATGGGAAGATGCTTGCACATCCTCCCGCATGCAGGGTAGCCCACAGTAACGTGTCCCTTAGGAGAAATAGCCCCCAAACAATATTCAGCCCGCCCAACAATAGAAAGAAACGTATCCCACATCATCGCCGCGCGCGCCGACCAGGCGCCAGCAAGCGTTTTGCCAGCAGTGCCAGGCAGCCGAGCTAGCGCAACTTTGCGAATCAAAACGAAGCAATTCCTATTACAATCCACAGGATGCAAGGTAGCCCACAATGGATGATCCCGCTGGAGAAATAAACCCCGAACTTTACACAGCCCGCCCAACAATAGAGGGAAACTAATCCCACGTCGCGGCCCGCCTCGACCAGGCGCCAACAGGATTTCTACAGACAGTGCTGAGCAGGCTAGTTTGAGCAAACTCGCGAATCAGACTGAAGCACAGGTGCATTGCAATTCTCATGAGAATGTGCTTATGAATCCTCCCGTGCGCAAGGTTGCCCACAGTAGACTGTTCCTCAGGAGAAATAGCACCCCAAGCATTATCCAACCCGCCCAACAATAGAGGGAAACTACTCCCACGTCGTCGCGCGTGCTGACCGCGCGCCAGCAGGAGTTCTGCAAGCAGTAATCGGCAGACGGCTTTAACAGAACCCGCGAATCAAAACGAACACATTCTTATTGCAATCCTCGTGAGAAGGTGCTCACAAATCCTCCCGCGTGCAGGATAGCCCACTGTATAAGATCCCGCTGGAGAAATGATCCCCAGACGTTGTCCAGCCCGCCCAGCAATAAAGGGAAACCAATCTCACGTCGCCGCGTGTGCCGACCCGGTGCCAGCAGGAGTTTTGCCAAGAGTGCTAGGCAGACGAGTTTGACCAAACCCGCGATTCAAAACGAAGCAATTGTTATTGCAATATGTATGAGAAGATGCTCACACATCCTCCCGCATGCAGGGTAGGTAGCCCACAATTGAGCACTCCGCTGGAGAAATAACCCGCAAACATTACCCAGCCCGCCCAACAACAGAGTGAACATGATCTCCGCCGCGACGAGGAAGTTTTAGGACCAGTTTCATTCACCGCCAAAAAATCAGGGGCGGTCAAAACAAAAACCTTTTGGGTCTAGCGGCCGCGCTCATGCACCACCCCCTGCGCACCCCTATGGTGTCGAGAAAGTGCAACGCCAGCTTTGCTTGGGCGACCGGCACGGATAGCGGCCGCGGTCAGAGATGTCGAGAAAGCGTCGTATGGTGTGTACGTGTGTGGGCGTGGCTGTAGATATGTGTATGTATGATGTGTAGAAAGCGCCAGACATCAACCTTCTCCTACTTGCGTGCAGCGTGTATGTGTGTATGTGCATATGTGTGTATTTTCGTGTCAGTTGTGTGTGTGTGTGCGTGTGTGTCTCTGTCTGTGTGTGTGCGTGCGTGTGTGTGTGTGTGTCACGTGGTGTGCGGCTGTACGTGTATATGACGTTGGCTATGACTGGTGCATCTGTAGGACGAGGAGCGAGAAAGAAGAGGGTGAGAGAGGTGAGAAGCTGCGGGTGCGACGCGTGTGGGAAGAAAACCAGAACCCCACGAAGCATGTCGGGAAAAACTGATCCCCGTTGGAAAAAGTGCACCAGATGGACCCCAGGAGGCCCGGGGACCGATTTTGAACGAACTCGCCCTGATCCCCCGCTCTTGACCAGTCATTTCGGGGCCCCACCAGCTTAGACCCCCTGGCCGCCTCCGAGCTGGGCCCCCCCGTGGTTCGCTCCCACCGGCTCTGCCCGTGTGGGCACCGCGGGGGGCCGGGCGGCGCACGGAGAGGGCTCAAGGGCGAGGCGCGGCGGCCTCTCCGGGAGAGGGCACGCATCGCTTCTCGACTGGCCCCCCCTGCTCCTCGGAGAGGAAGGCCTGCTCCGAGTTTCTCCATCAGCGTCGGGGGGGCGTCACCCCCGCCGACAGCCCCACATCGACCCCCGTCGCGGGCAGCCACCGCGCGCCGAAGGCGCTCCGACCCCCGTCGCGGCGCGACGACCAGGCGAGGTGGAACCCCGTCGGGGGGGTACCCCACGCTTATCAAGAAACCCGGAGTACCCCAGACGCTGGGCGGCCCAGATCAACGGAGACGGCTGGTTGCCAGAGGCCGGTTCCAGGCGCTGGGGCTCGAAGAAAAGAATTTGATAGGCGGTCGAAGGGCCTGGGGCTCGCCCTTCTACGAAAAACGACCCCCGAGGTCCGCGCAGGTTTTTTGGATCTGCGCCAGTCTCTCCTGCTGGATCCCCTGGCGGCGCGGACCCTGGCGCGCTCAGCGAGCCAGGGAGGGGGTTCCAGCGCCGATCCAAGGGATCCGCGCGGATTCTGCCTGGCGGCGCGGCGCTTGGCGCGCTCAGCGAGCCAGGGAGGGGAGCTTCCGGCATTGATCCAATAGATTCGCGCGGATTCTGCCTGGCGGCGCGCCCACTGGCGCGCTCAGCGAGCCAGGGGGGGGGGCTTCTTACACCGATCCAAGAGATCCGCGCGGATTCTGCCTGGCGGCGCGCCCCCGGGCGCGCTCAGCGAGCCAGGGAGAGGGTCCTTTGGGGGGCGTCCTGGTCCGTCTTGGGGGCATCTCTGGCAGTCCTGGGACCCTGTTGATCCGTTTTGGGGCGCGAGCCCTTCAACAGCATAAGCGGGCAGGCTAACGCATGGCTTGGATTCAACAAGAAAAGGGTATATGTTGGGGCTCTCTTGGGAAACAGGCGATAGCACGATGAAGATGTAACAATACGAATATCAAGCACATGTAAAACAAATGCCAAGTACGAAAGACACAGTCTTGACGCTTCGCGTGTTCCCACCGGCCCATCCAGAAACTATCGCCAGGCGAGTTGCTCGAGTCAGGGCAGCGTTGAAACCCGCAGTGGAACAGGCCGCCCTGGAAGCGTATCAGGGGCGCAGAAACAGTGGGCACGTTTGATGAATCATATAAAACAGGTTTCCCTGCTGCGTTGATTTTTTATAGGTTATCGGGGTCCCTTGGGGGCGTTCTTGAATTTCTCTTGGGACCTTCTCGAGGCGGGGAGGCCATCTTTTGGTACAGGAGGAGGTTGAACAAATCTGTGAGGAGGAGAATGAGGATGAGGAGGAGGAGGAGGAGTATAATGAGGAGGAGTAGGAAGAGGAGGACCAGTGTAAGCCCAAGAGTCATCAAAGATGTTATAATAGACCCTCCCCCAAGCTCCCTCTTCGTAGGCTCCGACACTGGTTCATCTACACTGAGGGAACTGCCTCGTCGGAATACAATCGTTTGAATATTCTGAAGCATGCCAAACACTGTTCTCGGAATTCCAACGCCACGGATCAACCTGACTGTTGCGTCTTCTCGAGCCTGGATCGTGCCAGAACGCGATTCCTGGGACTTCAACACCGCGAATCGACGTAACTGCTGCACCCGCATAATCCTGAATCTTCCCAAAGCACCATTTTTGGTACGTTGATCAGGGGATCCGTGAAACTCTGGTAAACTATATAAGCGAAAGCGCGCGGCGCTAAGGCGAGAGCCACATGACATGTTGAAAATACTCCGCCCTCAATCCGTGACGATCTTGCAAAGTAGAGAGACTGTGAGCCGCGCTAAGGCGAGAGCCGCATTTAAAAAACCACCCGCCCCCAATCCGTGAAATTCTTGCACATTTGTAAAACGAATGTTCGCGGCGCCAATGCGAGAGCCACAGTTTGAAAATCACCCGCCTTCCAGATGTGAAGTTGTTGCCAACGTTCAAGCTTCAGGGTCCTGAGTGGTGAGGAAGTCTCAGGCGAAACGCCTGGCCCGCCCTAAAACACTGGCCTCAGGGTGCGGCAGGGAGAAGTTTTACATAAGGAAAAGGAATGGAGGAGGAGAAGGAGGAGGAGGAAGAGGAGGACGAGGAAAAGGAAAGGATACGAAACACGGGGACCCATGCGAGCACGCATCAAAGATCGGGTACTTATGCTGATCATACAACAGATGTGCCCATGCCGTGGCGGCTATGTTGGGCCGCTTTGGCAATTCGTTGCTGATATCCTTTCCAGAAGCCCGTAGGGCCTCCTAACGCATTCATTTCGGGAGTAGAAGGGATCAAACGAGGAAGCGTAGGAACATGAGGAGGAGGAGGTTATGACGGAGCTGGAGGGGCCTGATGAGCAGGCGGGGGAGGGGGAAGATGAGGGGAGGGAGGGGGACGCACACGAAGAAGTACGCATGACAATGCTCCAAAACAAGCAAAAGCTGGCCCTCATGCAGGATCTTTGCAGGGGGATGGACCCTGCAAAGACCATGCAAAGTGGGAGTCTTGGAGGCCTCTTGGGGCGATGTTTGGCTCCCATGGCTCACGAAGAGAGATAGTGCCCTCAATTGAAGCCCCCCCCATCGGAAGCCAAAGCCATGCCGTCGTGGAGCCCTCTTCGGCCGCTCTTGGAGTGCTCTTGGGCGCTCTTGAGGCTGTCTTGGGGCCTTCCTGGACCCTCTGAGAGCTCTCTGGGGCCATCTTGGGGCCGTCCAGAAGCCTCACCAGCCCATTGGAAGGAAAGAAACTACAGGGTTAAACTCAGTGATATTCCGCTGTTTTTTTTTAATAGGGTTTGGGCTTCTTTGGGGGGTGTCTTTCGGCGCTCGAAGGGCACTTGGAATCGTCTCGGGGTTGACCTGGGGCGTCTTGGAGGCATGTCGCAGGCTATCTTGGGCCATCGTGTGCTATCTTGAGCGATCTTGGAGGCCACCGTTGGCTCTCTGGGGGCTTCTTACAGCAATCATGGACCATCTTGGATCATCCACCGGGCCGCGCCCCTCCCCCTTTCCCAGGCCCAGGGGAGGGGGTAGGAGGGGAGGCGCACCCCTCCCCCGATCAGGGGAAGGGGGGGAGCTGTGGCAGAGAGAAAACAAAATTCGTTAACCACTGTTCACAGGGCGGGTGGGATAAGATATAGCGATACCGATGTAATGTACATATGAAGACAGAGGGGAAGGGGTGGAAGCTCGGCATCATCCTTGTCGTCGTCCTCCTACTTTTCCTCCGCTTCGTCTCCTGGCGCGGCGAGCCAGGGAGGGGGCCCCGATCCCGATCCGAGAGATCCGCGCGGACTCACTCTGGCGGCGCGGCCTCTGGCGCGCTCGGCGGGGCAGGAGGGGGGAATGGGGGGGTCCAGCACCGATCCAAGAGCTCCGCGCGGACTTCCCCTGGCGGCGCGGCCCTTGGCGCGATCAGTTAGCCGGGGATGGGGGGTCCAGCGCCGATCCAAGAGATCCGTGAGGATTCCCCCGCTTAGCGCGGCCCATGGCGTGCTTGGCGAGCCAGAGGGGGGTTCGAGCATCGATCCAAGAGATCCGCACTGTCTCTCCCTGGCGGCGCTGCCCTTGGCGCGCTGAGCGTGCCAGGGAGGGGGTTCCAGCGCCGATCCAAGATATCTGCGCGGACCCCCTTGGACGCGCGGCCCCTGGCGCGCTCAGCGAGCCAGGGATGGGGCTTCCAGCACCGAGCTATACAATTCGCGCGATCCTTCGAAGGTTTATGTTTTGTGGATGTTCCCTCTCCAAAGGAAAGCCGCCACCTGCTACTTGGCAACCCCTCTGGCAAGTTCGAACCCGTCCTGCCGTGCCAGGCGCCAGAACATATATTGCGAAGACCTTGCGGCCAGCGCCGCCGACCCTGAAGGGGGACGACGACGACGAAACATTTCCAACATTGTCAGGGGAGTCATTGAGTTTACCCGCTTGGGGTTGTCTTGGGAGTGCTCTTGGGGCTCCCTTGGGCCTCTTGAGGGCCTCTTGGGTGCCTCTTGTGTTTTTTTTGGGGTGTCTCTTGGGGCCTCCTGGGGACCTCTTGGGGGGGAAGGCTCGACATGTCGGTTGGTGGTCCCCCTCTCAGGAGCCTCTTGGGGCCCTCTTGGGGCCCTATTCGACCATGTTGGGAACCTATCGGGCGGTCTTGGGGCCGTCTTGGTCCATCTTGGGGCCGTCTTGGGCTGCTCTCTGACGCTTTCGGCAGCCTCTTTGACCGTCTTTGGGTGATTGTGGTGCCTTTCTAGCCCGTTCCTGTAGCGTCGGAAGCCCGAAAAGGGGAGGACGCGGAAAACATAGAACACAGCATGCAAATCATCGATGCTCGCCTCGTGGGGCCCTTGGGGCTCTTCTTGGATGGAGCCCTCTTGGGGCGTCTTGGGGCGCCTGAGGCCATCTTGAGGTTCACTTGGGCCGCCATGGCGCGATCTTGAGCTGTTTCAGGGCCCTCTTGGAGCAAGCTGCGGTCCAAGTGCGCTCCAGGCGTCTGGGAGGCATGACATGGAAGGGGGAAGCTCCTTTTAGGGAGGGGTGCTCCCCCCCCCCCCGGGGGGGCAGGGGGGAGGGTCACAATCCCAGGGATCACCCCCAGAACCCCGCTCCCCCATTGGAACCCTCCCGGGGAGACCCCCCCGGCCGGGGAGGGATCAGAGGGAAAGTGTTTCTTTTCGACCCGATGGCGAAGTTGCTCGATTTCTTTCTGCTTGGATAGTTTGAGGAGGAGGGCCCAGGGACAGGGGGAGCGGCGACGGCGACGACGACGATTCCAGCGGAAAAAACGTTACGGGAAGGGAGCGGCGACGACAACGACACACACATACACACACACACACACACACACCCACACCCACACCCACACCCACACCCACACCCACACACACACACACACACGCACACGCACACGCACACGCACACGCACACGCACACGCACACGCACACGCACACGCACACGCACACGCACACGCACACGCACACGCACACGCACACGCACACGCACACGCACACGCACACGCACACGCACACGCACACGCACACGCACACGCACACGCACACGCACACGCACACACACACACACACACGCCGACAGGGTCGGTTCATTTCTATTCGGTTGCTCGATGTCTTCCTAGTCTGCCAGGAGTAGGGTGGGGCAGCTAGTGTAAAGAGATCCGCGCCCCTCGTAATGGTTGAGGACTTTTGCGAGCTTGCATGACATGACATGCCAGTCCATGACTCCGCCAGGTGTGTGGGCGAATTCACGCACATCAGGAGCTTCACAAAGCTGTACGATGAAATCTCCGGTGGGCGGGCAAGGGTTGCAGCTAGCAGTTTTAAAGTCGCAGTGCGTTGACGAGACACGCAGCAGGTCAGCTGGCAGCGAAGAGGTTCGCAAACGGGTATTTTGCACGGGATGCGTCCCCTGCCTGTCGGAAGAGGGGCTCCTGGGGGGCCATCATGTTCTTCCGCTTTGGCCTTGATCTACCCCGAATTGCGCAACGCCCGAGTGGCGCGACGGCGTAATTAGGCTCTGTTTCATGTGAACGCGTCAGCCATTCGACATTCAGCGGTCTCCTCCGTCGAGGCCCCCCCCTAGGCAGCTGGGGGGCCGTCAGTATTGAGCTGCCGTGCTCGCCCTGCCGCCGTCGGCGGGAGCCGTTGGAAGGCTGCCGGAAGGTGGCGGAAGTAAAAGTGAAACGGCAATCTGTTCGTGGTCAGAGTTTCTGGAGTCGGCCATATGAGAGTGACAGGGAGTTCACCATACGAGTATCTCACCTGGTCCCACAGTTCACCGGTGTATCACGAAGGCAGTTCCTTTTTTGGATCTATGAGTGGTGTTGGTTGTCGAGGCTGCCTTGCGTAGATGCGATGTTTTGTTTTTGTTCAACTCGAGACCTCCAGAAGTCGGAAGTCCCAGACCTCTCCCTGAGGCCAGTCTTTCATCCCGAGTCGTCTTTTGACGGTCCCAGGGTCCTGCGGGGCCGAAGGCGACGATAAATTTCCGCCTTCTTTTTCTGGAGAAGTCGGATGTCTGGTATACCCTCGGCTGCCCATTCCCCCCTTCCTTGTCCTCCTCTTTGTTCCTCCTCTTGTTCTTCTCTTCCTCTGCCTTGGTCTGGCTCTGGTGCACGTTTTTGGCGGCAGCGCGAGCGGAATATGAGTGCCGGCCGGTTCGTTCCCCTCAGTTTTCTCTTTCTGGTGCCAGAAGATGCGCTGTATAAAACAAGAGTGCCTGCGATTGAACTGCCGAAGCTCCGCGCGGGTTTCTTGCATCTGCTCTCCGCCCCTGGCGGCGCCTCCAGCGCCGCCCCTGGCGTGCTCCGCGCGCCAGAGAGGCTAAGGGGCCAAACAATGGCATACACATGAAAACTCGGAGGTCCGCGCGGATTTCTTGGATCCGCGCTGGACCTCCCTCCCTGGCGCACGGAGCGCGCCAGGGGCGGCGCCGGAGGCGCCGCCAGGGGGATCCAGCGCGGATCCGAGAAATCCGCGCGGACCTCCGAATTTCAATGTTTATGTCATTCTTCGTTCCCCCAGAGGGGGGACCCAGCGCCGCCGATCCAAGAGATCTGCGCGGACCTGGACCAGCGGATGCTTCTGCCGTTGCTTCTTCGTCTCGTCGTGTGCCCTCTCCTCTCTCCCCCCTCCTCCTAAGTCAGGCCTGCCTCTCCGCAGGAGGAAACTTCAGAAACAGTTAAAGAATAGTCGAGGGGGGATTTGTCGATGATTTGTCGACAGTATGTTTGAATACGTTTTGACTTTTTTGTTTTCGCCCAGCATCCGCCCGTATGAGGACGTGCCCGACCTGACCCCTCCTCTCTCGGGGATCCTCCCGGGCTAGGACGGGGCTCCAGGGCCCTCCGACGCCGCCGCGGGCGTCCCCGCGGCATCGCCGCGGCATCCCCTCGGTGCTCGGACGCCGCGCCAGCCGCTCGCGTTCCGTCGGGCATGTCCCTCCTTACGGGAGGAGTATCGAGAGATTGGCCAAATCAGTCTGGGTAGGATTTTTGGAATATTTGTCAAAAACATGCGTGGCATACGTTTGGACTATTTCTTCTCTGTCGTCAAAAAATTCGCCTGTAGGAGGGCATGCCCGACCTAGCGCTCACGCTGTCGTTCGTGTGTTGGTTTGTTTGCTTGTTTGTTTGTCTGTCTGCTTGTCTGTGTTCGCGCTCGAACTTCACTGCATGAGCGCTCCTCCGCCGCCCGCGGCGTCCTCTCCCTCCTTCTGCGCCTTTCCTGCTTCAGTTGTGCCCCGACCGCGTCTGGGACCCACCTCGCCGCGACCAGCACGTCCTGTTTGTTTGTTTGATTGCTTGTGTGTTGGTTGTGTGTGTGTTTGTCGTTGAACTTCCACCTCTTAAGAATAATCATTGTTGATCCCCCCTCACCGGTGCATACTGTTTTTCTCCACCAAAGTGTGCCCCTCGACGCTCGCACTTTGTTTTGACAGGGAAAGTCTTGATGCTCAAATTGTGCACCTGGCCCCCGGGTTACAACAACAACAACGGCTCCCGCCTGAGACTTCCTCACAATTTAGCCAGGACCCCCGCTGCCGCCCGAGAATTCCTTGCATTTCATTCACGAATCGCGCTCTCGCTGGGGACTTCCTTACAATTTATTCAGGAATCGCTCTCCCAGCGCTCTGGAGTCGCGCTCTCGCTGGAGACTTGCTTGCAACTTACTGAAGAATAGCGCCCTTGCGTTGGAATTTCCGGCAATTTGCTCAAGCGCCGCGCTCCCAACACCCAGGCACCCAGGAGTCGCGCCCGTTGTGGCCCCATGTGCATGCCCTTCGTGGCCCCGCTGTCGCCGTTTGTGGCCCCCTCAATGACCTACGTGGCCCAGTTGCTACCCTCAGTGGCTCCATCGTTGCCTTCTGTGGCCCCGCGTTATCTGCCCTTCGTGGCCCCTGCTCGTTCGCGCTCTTCGTGGCCCCATACGCATTTCCTTCGTGTCCCCGCTGTCGCCCTTCGTGGCCTACTTCGTGTCCTTCGTGGCCCTGCTGTCGTTCTCTCTCGCTCTCGCTTTCGCTCGTCGTCGCCGTCGTCGTCGTCGTCGCCGTCGTCGTCGTCGTCGTCGTCGTCGTCGTCGTCGGTCCCCTGTCCGTCCCTCTTGGGGTCGGGTCGACGGTCCGCGGCCGCCCCGCCGATCAGCGCTGCCGCTGGCCAGGCCGACGGTCCGCGGCCGCCCCGCCGCTTGCCAGGGGCCCGGCCTGCAGGGAAGAAAGGTATACCCCCCAAAAGGGGTTCGGTCGAAGACGAACAGGGCGGGTATCGAGGGTTCGGGAACTACGCGTTATTGGACACTCGAGCAGATAAGGGCGAACAGTCTTAAGATGGTTGTTGTTATTGTTGTTGTTGTTGTTGTTGTTGTTGTTGTTGTTGTTGTTGTTGAACATTATTTCTTCTTAAGAATAATTATTGTTGGGACCCCTGGTGCGCGGCCCCCCCGCCGCGCCTAGGCCGCAGCCTCATTTTCATCATTTTCGTGAGGAAGTCTCAGGCAAAACGTGGGTGTCCGGATCCGGTTGTTTTGTTGTCCCCCGTTTTCCCTTGCAAAAAATAAGCTAAAGTGGACATTTCTTGTTCTAACATAACCAAACTTCAAGAATCCCTTGCAAAAAATAAGGTAAAGTGGACATTCGCGCGCGCAAGACGAAATCCTTCCAAAACCTTAGTGTTCGTAGCGATTTTAACATAAAAACATAAAAAACAATGGTTTTTTCAAAAAAAAAAAATGTCAAAATTTCATCCCGCGCGCTCTTGCGGATTCGTAGGAAACCCAACACTTTTTAATCATTTCTGTCAAACGGGCTTTTGCGAGCAACTTTTTCGAACTTCTGCAACAACGGTTGCGCACCTGCCAGGGCCATCATCCCTGTCAAATAATACCATGCGGGACACATTCGTTTTTTCTTCGCGCGCGCACGCCGTCGTCGTCGGCCGCGGGGCCCTGAATAGTAGCCACGGTCGTCCGCATGCCACGAAGTGAAGTGTCCGAACGTCATAGGGCGGGAAGCTGGGTGTGGGTGGTGGCGAAGAGTCGTTTGGAAATTTGGTAGAGCTTGAACCGGCCCCCCCACAAAGTGGGGGTATTGCCCGCCTCCTATGAAAACCCTGGCACTGGTGAGAACGGAGTGTCCCCACGTGCTAGTAATTGTTGAACATTATTTATTCTAAAGAATAATTATTGTTGGGCCCCCTGGTGCGCGCCCCCCCTGCGCCGCCTAGGCCGCAGCTACATTTTCATCATTTTCGTGAGGAAGCCTCAGAAAAGAGGGTGTGTACAGGATCCGGTTGTTTTGTTGTAATCCGCTTTCCCTTGCAAAAAACAATAGAAAATGACATTTCTTGTTCTAATATAATCAAATTTCAAGAATCCCTTGCAAAAAATAAGGTAAAGTGGACATTCGCGCGCGCAAGACGAAATCCTTCCAAAACCTTAGTGTTCGCAGCGATTTTAACATAAAAACATCAAAAAACCAATGGTTTTTCAACAAAAAATTGTCAAAATCTCATCCCGCGCGCTCTTGCGGATTCGTAGGAAACCCAACACTTTTTAAACATTTCTGTCAAACGGGCTTTTGCGAGCAACTTTTTCGAACTTCTGCAACAACGGTTGCGCACCTGCCAGGGCCATCATCCCTGTCAAATAATACCATGCGGGACACATTCGTTTTTTCTTCGCGCGCGCACGCCGTCGTCGTCGGCCGCGGGGCCCTGAATAGTAGCCACGGTCGTCCGCATGCCACGAAGTGAAGTGTCCGAACGTCATAGGGCGGGAAGCTGGGTGTGGGTGGTGGCGAAGAGTCGTTTGGAAATTTGGTAGAGCTTGAACCGGCCCCCCCACAAAGTGGGGGTATTGCCCGCCTCCTATGAAAACCCTGGCACTGGTGAGAACGGAGTGTCCCCACGTGCTAGTAATTGTTGCTGTTGTTGTTGCTGTTGTTGTTGTTGTTGTTGTTGTTGTCAGTAGTGCTGTTGTTCGTGTTGTTGTTTGGTTGCTGCCGTGGCCCTTGACAAACATGCCGCGGGGACCGAGGCGGCGAGGACATCGGCGCCAGGGTCGGCTTTGCGTACAAGGTGGTCGACTGGCTGTTCGGCACGGTCATGCCCAAGTACAACCTGGCCTCTCACAAGATAGTGGCCCTGCCAGGGGGGGGTGAGCCTCCAGATCTCTTGGCATCGCTCGGACGTGTGCATTCCTTCTCGGCGAGGACGATCAAGGAGGATCTTCGATCATCGAGCAAAAGAAAAACACGCACGAATTCGCACAATGCACGTGGAATGGACGCCCGAGCGATGGCAAGATCTGGGCGTCGCTCCAAAACAAAAAATGAGTTCCGTGGCGGCCTGCCCTTTTTTCTCGGCCCCTGCAGGAGGCCGCCGCCTCCCCTCCCCCGGGCCCGTCAACAAGAAGCGACTCTGGCGGAAAAGCTGGGGGGAAGGGGTCGAGAGTCTCGGGGGTCCACGTCGTATCAAGCAGTGCCAGCACGGTCGGTCCCTGCTCAATCGTAAGCACACCGTCGGAGGTTGGGGGGGATCAGGGGAGGGCCACGGTCCGCTGGCCACCCGATCTCGACAGGCAAGGGGTGGGTAGGTGGGAGGCCCAGGGCAGCAGCCAGGCGAGCAGAGGCCAGGAGGCCGCCGCAACGGCCCAGGGGCTGTGCGGCCTCTGCTTGCCTCTGCCGGCCTCCCCAGACATCCGATGCCTTGGCTTCTGTTTCGGTGCGGGGTCCCCCCGGAAGTCCCGATCCTTTCCCAAGTGATCGTTTCTTTATGTATTGTTTTGCCGATCGGCGCGGGCCCTCGCACCCCCCCTCCCCCCCCCCCTCTGGAGTGGATCTTGGCTGCTTGTGGCGCCTGTTTCGAGCAGGTGGAGCCTCGCCCCCATAGGACGCCCCGTCGTAAACAGTCGCGCTAAGCAGAGGTCCGGAGCCAGACCCCCCCCTCCCCCCTCCTTTCCGCCCAATGTCGAAACGCCGAACAAAAAAAACGCTCACCGAGGGCCTGCTTCCCACACGCGGGGCTCGGCGAGGGCTCCCCGAGGCCGCAAGACGTTGAGAGTCATCTCCGCGCGCTTGATTCTTCAAGACGCCCGAGGTCTGGGCCCCCTCTGGCCGCTCCGAGGGTCGGAGGAGGAATGAGGTACCCATATGCTGTGGCCCGTGCCTCGTGTTCCCCAGTTGTGGGCTTCCTGGGAGGGCCCTCGTCGCCACTGCCGGGTTCGCCTGGCAATGCTGCTCAGAACGTGCCCCGGGAGTGGTCCCGGGAGTAGCGGTACGGGTATACCATTTCGTTTCCCCAGAGGGGGTGCGGTGGGGCGACCGGGAAGTTCGTCGGCCCTTTCTCTGTTGCGCTCGCCCGCCTTGCAGACACCCGGCGATGTGTTTTTGTTTCAATCCGTGCCCTTACACCACCTCCCCACCTCTTCTCCTGGGCCAGCGTTCCATCCCAGATGCGCCTTTGATAGCCCCAGTGGCCGAAAACGGTCAGAGGAAGCCGAAGTAGCTCAAATGCGCCCGAGTTTATCATTCCTTCGTATGCTTGGGTTCCCATCCTGGCTTCCATCCGATGTTTTGTCATTTGGGCTTGCATCCCATCCGAGGGGGAAGAGGGAGGGAGGGAGGGTGGGGTGGAGGAGGGAGGGAAGGACGAGGAAGAGGAGGAGGGAGGAGGAGGCGGGAGGAGTAGGAGGAGGAAAGATGAGGCGGAGGCGGGAGGGAAGGCAGAGGAGGAGGGATGGAGGGAGGGAGGAGGGATGCAGGAGTAGAAGGTGGAGGGAAGCCCGTGGGCATTTGGCCTCTAGGCTTGCAGGCCATCTTCGGGAGGAGGCCCGCGAGCAGAAGATCCTGCGAGCTCTGTCTCTCTCTCTCTCTCTCTTGGCCTGCCCTACCTCGGAGGGAGGGAGCAGGAAGGGAAGTTTAAGGGAGGAGGAATAAGGAGGAGAAGGAGGAAAAGGAGGAGGAGGCCTCGCCCGGCCTGAAGGGGCCAGGGAGATCTTGCGAACTAGCGTTGCGTTCGTCCGTCCGATCACTCGGGAGGGATGAAGAGTAGCAGTGACGCGCGCGCAGCCTTCTGTGTGCGCTGCTCGTTTGCCTTTTGTATACGTCTCGTTGCTCTCGTCAGCAGTAGCGCGCTGGTGGGTCTTCGACTGGCGCGGCGTTAATCTGGTTTTTGCTCTCCGCATCACGCTTCGGCATGCCTTTGTCCCGAAGCGGGCATTCATCTGTATACCGCATGGGGGATCAGTCCTCGGGGACCTCGGCCTGCCGTGGATGTGGATCTATTCGGGCCTCCTGGGGCCAACGCCCGTCCATGTCCACCGCCCCCTGGGGTCCCATGACGCCGGTTCCCCAGGCCGTGGATGTGGATAAAAATCCCCGCTTCGCATATTTGCGATCACGCTCTGGCACGGGGGGGGAGGCCGGCCGGCTGGACGGCTTCGAGCAGTTCGAGCACTTCAGCGCGCACGTGCTCGGCAAGCCTCCGCGCCCCCCCCTTCGCCCGCTTCCCCGCCCTGCCCGTGCACCTGCTTCTCGCCCTCCCTGCACACATGTGGATGCCCGGCCAGCTCCTCGGGGGCCCCAGGTCCGCTTCAACAGCGCTCGGACCGCCGTCAAGGCGGCCGAGGAGGGCCCCGTGTTGCCCCCAGGACGGCTTCCAGAAGTTTCAAACGGCCAGCGAGGCGTTTCGAACAGCGCCAGAAGCTTCGAAGACGCCCCAAGAGCGCTCCAGGACGACGCCCACGAGAGCCCCGGGACGCAAACGTTGTTCCATTCTTTCGGGGAACCTTGCACTTTTAGCAACTTCGCTTGTGAGACCTTCATGTCACAGCAACGAAAGACGAAAGCTGCCCAAAGGCCCCCAAGAGGGCCCCAAGACGGTCCAGGAGGGTCCAAAGACGGCCCAAGAGGCGCCCAAGACGGCCCAAACGGGCTCCCAAAGATCCCCAAGAGGGACCCAAAATGGGGAACTTCAACTGACATCTGGAGCTCTCCGACTCCAGAGGGTCCCCGAGGCCGCCATCAGGCCCCGAAGAGGCCCCGAAGAGGCCCACAACAGACCCGACGCCCCGAAGAGGCCCCAGGACGTCCCCGGAAAGCCCCAAGACCGCCCCAAGACGGCCCTTGAGGGCCCCCAGACGGCCAACATTGTTTCAAGACGAGTTCAAGAGCCTCCAAGACGGACGTCTCCACGATGCCTCCAAAAGGCCCTAAGAGGACCAAAAGAGGCCCTGAGAGGTTTCCTCGAGGGGTCCGAGGGGCCAACATCTTGCGAAACTACGAAAACCATGCATGTTTGAAGAACTCGCCTTTTCACTGCCGATGGGCTCTCGAGGCCTCTGGATCCAAAAACGCCCGAGAAAGTCCCAAGAGGAGCCCCATCGGGCACCCAGGACGTCTCCATGAGCGCTCAGGGGCCTCCCTAGTCCGCCCCAAGACGGCCCCAGATAGCCTCAAGACGGCCCTCCAGGGTGCCAAGATGGCCCAAGATGGCATGGCCCCAAGAAGGCGCCGACAGTTCCCCAAGGGCTCCCAAGAGGCTTCGAAGTACCCCCCAGGAGGCCCAACTCTGTCAAGCACTTGAGGAAATCCCCCGGTTTCTGAAGATCTCGACTTTTCATTTCCGAGGGGCCTCTGAGGCCTCAGGGTGGTCCACGAATGGCCCTCGCGAAGCCCCAGGGAGGCCCAAGACGGTCGACTTTGTATCGCTCGGGAGTGTGCATGTCTCGGCGAGGCCAGCGTCAGAAAAGATGGATCACCGAGGAGCATCTTGGATCATCATGCGACCAAGACGAAGCACACGTCAACGAAAAATGCACGAGGAAGGGACGTCCCAGCGATGACAAGAAAGAGAACCCTTCTAGATGGCTCCGAGACGGCCGAAGACATCGTGGAGACAGCCTCCAGGCCGCCAAGACGGCTCCAGGTGGCCTTCAGACGGCCCCGGGCAGCTCCAAATGGCCCCACAACGGCCTCAACAGGCCACCAAGAGGCTTCCACGAGACCCCGTGGTCGCAGTTTCTCTTGTGCGTTCTAAGCTAGGGTCAAAGACACGTGGAGCCCGATCGCGTGCGAAGCGCGCGCGCGCCATAGTTCTAGTACATGATACGGATGAGTATCCGGTCCCCAGCCTCGGGGACGCCCGTACTACCCCCCCTCCCCAGGTCGCTCTGGAAGGGCTTCACATGGCTCCAAGACGGCCTAGAGTATTTTCAGCACGGCCACAGGGTCCAAGAGGCACCGAAGACGGGCCAATAATGCTTCTGAGACGGCCCACGAGCGCTCCAGGACAGCACCAGGCCTCAAGACGGGCAAGGAGGCTCCAACACAAGCTCCAAGAGGACCCCCAACAATGCCTCAAGAGGCAAACATCGTCACACTCCCGGAGGGTGACTTATATTTTCAGCGCACTCGCTGCGTCGATCTTAACACCGTCGAGGACGGCTCAAGAGGCAGCAAATATCGTTCCAAGACGGCCGAAGAGGCCCCCAAGAGAGCCCCAAGACGGCGCCCAAGACGGCCCATGAGGGTCCCAAGGAGGGCCCGAGAGAGGAGTTCGACCTGATTGTCCAAGCGCCCTGCCCCAATAGGGCCTCAGGCCCCCCTCAAAGCGCCAGCTCTCTGCCCCAAGAGGCTCCAAGAGGCCCCGCGAGAGCGCCACAGGGCCTCAAGAAGCCCCCCCCAAAGCCCACGACGCCCAGAAACCGACACACACACACACACACGCACACATACACACACACACACACACACGCACACACACACACACATACACACCCACGCACACACGCCCACACGCACACGCACACACGCATGCACACTCGCACACACGCACACACGCACGCGCACACGCACACGCGCACTTACGCGCACGCACACGCACACGCATACGCGCACGCGCACACGCACATACGCACCTACGCACATACGCATAAACACATACAGACACGCACACATACGCACATAGGCACATACAGAGACACACACACACACATACACACATACACATATTCAGAGACATCCACACATCGACACACATCCTCACCCATCCGCACACATACACACATCCACACACATCCACACACATCCACACACATGCACACACATCCACACACATCCACACACATCCACACACATCCATGCAAATCCACACATGCACACATACACGCATACACACCTACACAAGCACATACACACATACACGTACACACGTACACGCATACACACAGACAATCATACACATATACACGTGTACACACATGCACACACACATCAATCCATACACACAATCACACACAAACATACACACATGCACACACACGCACATACACACAAACACACAACCACACACACATCCGCACACATACACATACACGCACACACACACTCATACACACATTCACACGACTACACACAAACACATACACATATGCACACACACATATGCACACACTCATACACGCATACACACAACCACCCACACATACATACATGTACACATACACACATACACACATATACATATACACTCATACACAGATGCGCACACATACACACATACACTCATTGCCCTCATACACACATACACACATGCACACATACGTACATATACACATACCCACGCACCCACGCACACGCGCACACACATACACACGCACACACGCACATGCACACACACACGCACACGCGCACACACGCATACACAAACACATGCGCACACGCACACACGCACCCACGCACCCACACACCACACACACACACGAACGCACACACACACACACACACACACACGCACACACGCACGCACGCACGCACGCACGCACGCACGCACGACCACCGCACGCACGCACGCACATACAACACACGCACACCTGCGCACACACGCACACACGCACACACGCACACACACACACACACACACGCGCACACGCACACACGCACACACGCACACGCACACACACACACACACGCGCACGCACACGCACACGCACAGGCATACGCACACGCACACACGCACAGGCACACACACACGCACACACACACACGCGCACGCAAACGCACACGCACACGCACACGCAAACAACCAACACACGCAAACGCACACGCACACGCACACGCACAGACATAGGCACACGCACGCGCAAACGCAGATGCACATGCACACACACAAGCACACGCACACGCACATACGCAAACACAGGCAACACATGCACAACGTACACACCACTTCCTGTCCTCCCGATACACACCCCGCACGCAGGAAGCAAATTCCTCCGCCCCGCCCGCCCCGCACTGTGCACACGCGCGCAGAAACTCACACGCACATTGCCGCACACGCACGCACACACGCATGTACACACGCACAGTGTACCAGCACGGCAGACCACTTTAGCACGTCAGACCAGCACGGCAGATCACCCGTAGCCATGTTGGCTCAAGGCCATGGAGTGCCCGACGACCACGAGTTGTTCGCGGCGCTCTGAGCGCGAGGACTTCCTGTAGCTGCGAGCCGAAGCCCCGCACCTACAACAGGCTCGTGGCCTCTCGTTCAGTTCGGGCGCGCAGCGGGCGCGCTAGCGGTATGTTGGACACCGCCCGAAGCACCCCAGGCAAAGGCGCTGGCAAGAAGGGCTAGGGGCGTCAGTGGCGCTATTGGTGCTGCCCCACGCGCGCCTGCCTCGACTGAGGCGCGTGGATGTGGTGCTGCAGGAGCACCTTCGAAGGCTGCGGCGCGGCAGCCTTGCCCTGCGTCGGAGCCGTCGACCAGAGGGCGAGAGGCAGCCTCCAGACCACCGCGGATGAGAACGGCTGGGCGCGGTAACCTCGGGGCCGCAACGCGGCAAGGCGTGCCCGCGGAGCTGCCTCGCGCGCCGCCTCTTGCGGCTCCGCCGCCAGCGGCGGCCGCGGCAGGCGGGGGGGAGCTCCCTTCCTTCGGCTGGCGACGCCGCCAAGTCGCCGCGGCCAACGGAGAGGCATCAGGCCGAGGTCGCGAGGCTTGAGGCGCTCCTCGCCGAGCCGATGGACTACCTCTCCGCGGTCACCCGTGCACGCCTCGAGGATGGCCCGGCGCAGCAGACGCAGCTGCTGGAGTCCGCCCTTGCCGACGTGGCTGAGGCCGCGCGAGCCGCCAGGCCGCCGTTGGCCACCCTGTATGCAGCTGGCCACGCCTTGTCCAAGGCTGGGGCAAATATCAAGGCCGCGGAGAATGCGCTCGAGGACGTCATCGCGGCCTGGGCCGGGGCGAACGCCGCGCTGCAGACGGCGCGCGAGCGAGCCGCTGAAGCCGACGCGGCAGTCGCGACTGCGCCTGCCGCGCTCGCCGCGCAGCGAGCAGCCATCGCACGACGCCGCGGCCTAAAAGCAGCGACGCGTGGTCGGCGGCGGACCCTAGGGCCTCGCGCAGGGCCTCACTACCCAGATCCAGGCGCTGCAGCAGCTCAGCGAGCAGGGCAACCTGCGCGGCGCCGCCGCGGCCCTCGGCGAACAGGCAGCGGCCATCAGCCGCCAGGCCCCGCCCGCGGCGCGGGCGCGGACCAGCAGGGCCGACGCCCGTCCCATCGGGATCGGCGTCGACGCGGGCGACGAGAACCTCGGCGACGCCGGCTTCGCCATGGGCGCGGGGCCGCAGCCGGCGGCCGAGCGGGGCCAACGCGAGCGGTGCGGAGGAGCTGCCGGCGCGCGGCCGCAGCCCTCAGCGACGCCGGCGCAGGGCTCGGCTGCAGCGGGGGCCGCCGAGGCTTCCGCTGACCGTCCTCTGCTGGGTTCTCCTGGCCCAGCGGTCAGCGGCATGCCGGGGCCACGAGGGCGCGGGTAGTCCAGTCGGCCACGTCGACCGCTTCGCGACGCCCGCGGTCCAGGGTTCTCAGGGGGGAGGGCGGGGGGTTCAGATTCTGTCTTCCTCTCGGGATCTGGTCGGCCAATCGGGCAGTCGCCCGCGACCACGGGGCACGACGCGAGAGTCGATCGGGCCGGCCGGCAGCTTTCAGAGCCCTTCGGCTGCAGGCCCCGTCGTCGGAGCGTCTCTCGGGCCCATCGAGCCCGGCAGCGCCCCGAGCGCCGCGGCCCTCGCGAAGGTGGGCCTGTGGCCCGCGGGCCCGCGGCTGCAAGCGCAGCGGCTGGGGGCGCCCCCTTGAGGTGCTGAAGCTTGAAGGCGCGCGCGAGGTTGCAGCGCCAGGCCGCTTCTCGCCCAGCTGCAGCAGTCACGTCTCGGGGAGATCAGCCAGCTCAGCGAGGCCGGCTATCGCGCGCACCGACTGGGCCACGAGGCTTCGCCGGAGGCCGCGGCGCCCACGGTTGGCGACGGGGCCGGCCGCAACTTTGGAGGCGCGGCCATACTGGCCAGGAGCGACCTCGCAGGTAAGAAGGTCGCCTGGCGCCCACCTCAGAGCGCGGCCCACCGCCTCATTGTGGTGACCGCTGCCGCGCCGTCGGGCCCGGAGTTGCTGGCGGCAGCGTCCTACGTCCAGCGCGCCTTCGCGCCGCGCGAGGCGAACCTGGGCCAGCTCGGGGCGTTCGCCCAGATGACGGTCGCCGTCGACCGCGTGCCGTTGTTCTGGCTGGCGGGCAGTAGCGCCCGGCCCTGGGTGCTCAGCGAATTGGGAGGGCCTGGGCACGACCTCGGCACGATCCTCGGGCCGTCAGTCGCCGCGGGTTTTGCTGGGAAGCAGGGGCGGGCTTGCGATTGGATCGTCGGCTCGCGCGCCGTGGCGCGCGCCGCTTGCGTCTGCAGAGCTGCGCGCGGCTTCGGGCTCCACCCGCGCGCGCCCATCGAGCTGCTCCTCTCGGGCCTGAGGCCTGGCCTCTCTCATGCAGGTCTTCACGCGGGCTACAGATGCCCCGACGCGGGCCCCTAGGACATCGAGTCTCACGGGGATGATGGCGGGGCGCCACCGCAGGCGGGCTGATTGCCCCTAGCAGCCTGCCGCGGTCGAGTCGGCGCGGTAACCGGGCTCCAGGCCGCCCCTCGAGTCTGGGCACAAGCGGTGGATGGAGACCACGGAGAGCAATCTCATCGGCATCCACGGCATCGCCAAGTCAGTCGCGACCCGCGGCGGTTGTGGAGGCGGTCCTGTTATGCAAGCCGATGAGCGCGCTGGCGAAACGCGAGTGCCGTGCGCTCCATGCCGAGCCCGCCAACCAGGCGCGGAGCCGCCTGGACCTGGCGCGGCAGCGGGTCAAGGCCGAGGTCTCAGGTAAGTTCCAACCGAGCAATCACAGCTGGTGCGAGCGCGAAGCTGGGCGCTGAGGCTTGCGGCTCGAGCGCGCCCTGGTGGCCGCCGAGGAGGAGGGCCCAGGCGTAGACGCAGGAGGGGGCGATTTGCTCGCCCTCGTCGCCGGGGCCACGGTCGACGGCGGGCGCGAGGAGATCGAGGAGCTGCCGCGGCGGCGCCCGCGGCAACCCTGAGTGGCGAGCGCGGGCAGTCGAGGCGGCGCAGCGATGGGGCAGGCTTGCCCGCCGCTGAGCCACAGCGTCAGCCCCGCCGGTGCGCAAGGACTTCAAGACGCTGGGCGGCTGCTCGCGGGCGTGGCCATTATCGGCCAAGCGACGGCCGCTCACTACACGCGGGGCCAAGTTATGGACAGCAACATCGCTCCAGCTCAGCGCGCTGGCAACCGTCGCGCCGACCGCTCAGCCAAGCGGCAGCGCTGCGCCTCAAGGTTCTGGCGATAGCGTTCGCGGAGCTGGCTCGCTGGTAAGTCCAGGCGTCGTCCATCCTGCGGGGCCTCGGCGCGAGTGGCGCGGAAGGCATGCCGGAGGGAGAGGAGCGCGCGCACCCGCGCGTCGGCTTCGGCGACGTCGCGATCGAAGAGCTGCCCGCCGAGCAGTCGAAGCAGCCCCGCATGGGGCGCGCGCGCAAGGTCTGCGGAGGGCGCCCCCCCCTTTCCGAGGGCGCGGGCCAATGCTGCGCGCGCCGCGCCCAGGAGCGGCAGTTGGCCGCGAGCGGAAGAGCCTGCGTGGCCAGCTCAGCCGCTGGGCCAAGGGCAGGCACCCTGGAGGCAGGGGCGATCGGCGCCTCCGGGAGGTGCCAACCACCGAAGGGCTCAAGGCCAAGCCCCTGAGCTGGCACGGTCTGAATACGGAGCGGCCGTCGGCGGCCGTCGCGCTGGAGGGGCAGCGACCGCCGCGGCGCGCGGCCCAGGCCCCGCTCCCAGCGCCCCAGCGCAGGCAGCCCAGCAAAAAAGACGAGAGGTGCTGGCGGCCTACGTCCTGGACGAACCCGCCCTCGAGGAGTAGGCAGAAGCCGCGGCCGCATCTGACAGGGCCGAGCGCGAGGCCGAGAGGCCGAGGCGGGGCCGCGCAGCGGGCGAGGAAAACGGCGAGGTGTGAGTCAGTGGGCCCGCGGAAGATCCAGCCGCGGTCGTTGCTCACTCGGCGGCCGCGCGTGCTGGCCCCCGACTCGTTGCGCCCCGCGGCGCGCTGCTGCTCTGTAGGCAGCCGATGCGGTGGGCCGCCTGCTGCGCGCAGCACAAGCGCCTTCTCCTTCCTTGGCTACGCGAGCGGCTCCAGAGGTCCTCCTCTGCCAGTCGAGCTGCGAAGTTGTCGATTATTTCCCTGATGTGTGCGTCATCAGTTGCAGTTCGTTGTGCTGTGGTCGCTTGTCAGGATTTCAATCGAATTTGGTTTTTCGTGGCCCACTGATTGCGAGGTTGGCTTAGTGGCCTCTCGTGCCGTTCCCTTTCCGCCTGGGCACGCCCCGCGGGATGCCCCCGAGAGCGCGCGGCCCAAGGTGGCCTGCGCCTGGCACCCTTTCTTCGGGAGGCCCCATAGAGCGCGCGGCCCCAAGCGGCCTGCGCCTGGCGCCCTCTCTTTGGGAAGGCCTTTTGGGGCTTGTCCTCAGTAGACCTTCCCCCAGCTAGCCTTCAGGGCCCCGACACGCCACTTGGCTTTGGCACGGCTGATCACAAGAACGCGGCAGGCCAGCACGACAGACCACAGCAGCAGGGTACACCACAGCAGCAGCGAACGGCCTCACGACGGCCCCCGGGAGTCCCAGGACCCGGAGCAGGGCAGGCCATGGGAGCACGGAGCACTGCAGGAGCAAGGCAGACCAGCACGGCAGACCCCATCAGCACGGCAAACCATCACGACCGATTTCAGCAGCGTTGTGGTGCACCACAGCAGCACGTCAAACAAGCACGGCAAACCACAGGAGCACGGCAGACCAGGACGTCAGACAACTGCAGTACGTTAGACATACCGGGCAGACCATTGCAACACGGCAGACCACAATTGCAAACACGGCAGACCCGCAAGGCAGACGACAGGAGCACGGCAGAACAGCATGGCAGACCACAGCGGCACGGCATACAAACACGGCATATCATAGCAGCAACATGTCACAGCAGCAGCAGCACGGCAGATCACTATCAGAATTTGCGCGAACCCATTTTGGAAAGGCGGCGTTTCTCTTCTGATCGGATCAAGTTTTCTCTCAGTGACGATTTCGCATGAGACATGTTTAATACATGGGATTGCAGCAGCGTGTTTTTGAACAGCAGCGCTCCGCTTATGACAATCTTCCAAACATGGGGACTTCGGATTATGTAGATGTTCGGAACCATTTTTGAAATTTGCCATATCGCTATGGATATCCGCATACACACGAGATGCTTCCCACTTCGTCTTCGTATCGTTTTTTTTTTATCGGCCTCACCTGGTGCAGGGGGGCGGGGTTATACTGCTTCCCGTGCAGAGCACATGGGGGCTCCGATGGTGGTGATGGTAATGGTGATGATAATGGCGACATGCTGATGATTGTGGTGATGGCGACGGTGGTGGTGGTGATGATTGATTATGATGGTAATGATGATGACGACGATGATGCTGTTGAAAGTGGTTTTGATTTTGATGATGATTGGACATGGCGGCGAAGATGTCCATGACGATGAAGGAGTTGGTGGTGAGAAAGTTGCCGATGAGGGGGAGGATGACGAATACCAGGAGGACGAGAGGGAGGCCAGAGGAAGAGGAGGAGGAGGAGGGAGGAGAAGGAACTCAGGATGTGGAGGTGGAGGACGGCGAGGAGGACGAGCAGGATGTCCATGGGCGAGCAGGCTTCGCAAAGGCAGCGCCTGCAGCGCGCGCGCGGGCACGCCCAACCCCGCGCTGCGAGGTGACGCGCTGGGCTTTGGGCACCAGTACTTCGACGGCCACCCCCCGGAGAGGCCAGCGCTGGAGGCTGCGCTCCACAGACATTTGAGTGATTGATCTGTTCAGTCCGTGCGGCGTTGTTTACGTGTTTTGAGGTCGGCATTTTGGGGCCGTTCTTTCGGTGGGCCCAGGACGGTGCGGGGACCACACTGTACTTATGGTGAGTCAGTGGTGATTCGGGGTGGCCGCACGATTTTGGGACCTAGGTCGTTCTCCAAGGTGCGGTGACGAAGCGTGCGGCGAGGTCTTTGACGCTTTCGAGGTGACCGCGCAGCGGCGCAGCCCGTCACCGCCCTGTCCTGGGCCCTTCAGTGCGCCGCTGTGGCCCTGCGGCAACTGCAGCACCCCCCACGAGCCACGACCCGTGGCAAGCGCTCAGAGCGCACTCCTCGCGTCGCATCGGCCGGGCTGCGGGCGGCCCGTGGCTCCTGGGGGCTTCTCGGCGACCCTCGGGCTCGCCCTGGGGCGGCAAGGGTACCCCAGGGAAATGGTCCTGGGATGTCTGTGACCGCGGACCGAAACATCACATCGTCGGATGTCTGGGTCGAGGTGGGGTGGTGGGGGGGGAGGGCGGCGTCGAGGGGGAGCGTCGAGGAGGAGGAGGAGGAGGAGGACGACGACGAGGAGGAGGAGGATCAGTGTAAACCCAAGCGCCATCAACGATGTTGGAATACACCCTTCCTCCAAATTCCCTCTTTATAGGCCCCTACAACGGCTCATCTCCATTGGGGGATCTGCCTCGTTGGAAGACAACTGTTTGAAGACCCGGAAGCATGCCAAAACATTGTTCTCGGGATTCCAACGCCACGGATCAACTTGACTGTTGCGTCTTGACGATCCTGGATCGTGCCAGAGAGCCGTCCTTGGGATTCCAACACCACGAACCAACGTAATTGTTGCACCCGCGAAATCTTGAATCCTTCCCAAACACCATTTCTGGTGCGTTGACCGTGGGATTCCGTGAACCTCTTGTAAATTGTATGAACGAGTGTGCGCAGCGCTAAGGCGAGAGCCACATTTTGAGAAGGAGCCGCTCTCAATCCGTGAAACCCTTGTAAATGTTTAGAATGAATGTGCGCGGCGCAAAGGCGAGAGCCACATTTTGAAAACGGGTGATCCTAAATCCGTGAAGCTCTTGCAACTGTTCAGAAAGAATGTGCGCGGCGCTAAGGTGAGAGCCGCATTTTGAAAACGGGTGATCCTCATGCCGTGAAGCGCTTGCAAATGTTTAGCACGAATGTGCGCGTCGCTAAGGCGAGAGCCACACTTTGAAAACCACCCGCCCTCCATCTGTGAAGCTGTTGTCCACGTTTAAGCTTCAGAGTCATAAATGGTGAGGCAGTCTCAGGCGAAACGCCCAGCCCGCCCTAAAAACTGGCTTCGGGGTGCGACAGGGATAAGTTCTTTACAAGGAAAAGGAATGGAGGAGGCGGAGAAGGAGGAGCAGGAGCAGGAGGAGGAAGAGGAGGAGGAGGAGGAGGAGGAGCATCACATCTTTCCCCTCTCGATCTTTGCCCTCCCGAGGCTGTGATCGTCACAGGGGTATACTTCGTCTCCTTCTCTCCTCCTCCTTGTCTGTCTGTCAGTCAGTCAGTCAATCAGTCTGTCTGTCTGTCCATCTGTCTGTCAGTCAGTCAGTCTGTCTGTCTGTCTGTCTGTCTGTCTGTCTGTCTGTCTGTCTGTCTGTCTGTCTCTAGTTCCCTCTATTCTGCACGTAAAGCTAGGTGCGTGCCAGTGTCCCCTGGAGCGGTTCTCCAGGGCTCACCTGGCCCAAGTTTGACCAAGCTCCCTCAGGATCGACCGGCCTTGAGGGGGGAGGCAGCGTTCAGGAGACAAGTCATGCCACCAGGTGCCAGGTGCCAGGTGCTAGGAGGAGCAGCAGAATGATCAAGTACGTATCGATGACCACTGAGGAGGGAGTTTCCCAGGGTTGCTCAGGAATGTCCCCCTCGACGAGGAGCTCCAACCAAGCCTAGATGACCCCTCCTTGTCGATCCAGGATCGTATCGTCGATTGCATCGTCGATCGCTCTTTTTTCAGGCGCCCTGACTCAGGGGCCCTAAGCAGCAGCGGGCGGACGGACGCAAACGTGAATAGATAAGACGGAGGAACCAGGAGGGACAGGGCAAGAAGATAGCAAGACGGGGCAACTGACTGCTGGGAGGTAGACGGTTGACACTTCATGGCCTGGTCAGGATTCTCCTTCTCCTGCATACAGTCAACACTGATAGTAAGGATGATCGACTTCCCAAGGGTACCCTTGCATCCTTGCTTCTTCGGTCATCTTCGGTCCATCCTCAACCACTTTGGATGGCCAGCCCCGCTCGAAGAGCCTCGGCATAGGAGTCCAAGGCCCTTGCATCCTTCTCGCGCATCCTTGCTATCTGGTTCGACTGGAATCAGACTGGTTAGTTAGTGGCCGCGCTTCCCCACCTCCGCAGCCATGCATGTGCCTTGGAGGCCCTACAGAGGGCCGTGCCAGCAGCACGCTGCGCACCGTACGCCAGCGTCGGGCTTAGGAAAACAGTTATTGTGTCTGGCTCCCGCGGCCTCTGGAGGCCTCGCGTAGAGCTCCAGGGGGACCTTTCGGGGCACCTGCGCGGGCCTCGGGAGACCTGGGACCCAGGCCGCCGGCGGTCGTCGTAGATTTCGTGGATTTCGGCCTGCAAGGGCCGCAGATGTCGGAGATTCTGTTTTTTGTGGATGTCGTAGGCAAGGGCCGCAGGCTTTGAAGACGTCGGCCTCCGGGGGCCTTTCTCGGGTCGCGGGGCCGTCGAGAAGCGGCCTGGTGCGAGACACCGGCCCAAGCGGGGAGAGGGGTCGATGGCTCCAGGGAGCACTTGCGGAAGCAAGCCGCGGTGTCAGAAGTCTGGTGTGTGGCTCTGAAGGATCGATCTGTGCGGTAACCGTGGATCACGATTATGTTGGACCTGGTGCTTATGACGACTGTGGCGATGGCGGCGATGCTCTTTCTGATGAGAGGGGCAGCATGCGGAAGAGGCGGTTGTGAGGGATGAGGCGGAGGTGGGGCGTGAGTAAGAAGTACGGGGGGAAGGCGGGGGGAGGATGGCAACGGGTATGGCAAGGGATGATATCGTATTGATATAGACAATGGCAGTGGCGATGGAGTTGACGATGACAGTGGGGCTGGTGGAGGTGGGGCCAGAGGAGAGGGATGAGTGAGAAGGGCACGCCAGAGGCGGAGAAGGAGGAGGGGAGTAGCGCATACACAGAAGGTGGAGGAGTGACAGGGCAGGAGGAGCAGAGGGAGAGGGCAGGAGAGGGGAGGAGAGGGGCAGAGGAGGGGCAGAGGAGAGGGGAGGAGAGGGGAGGAGAGGGGAGGGAGATGGGAGGAGAGGGAGGAGAGGGGAGGAGAGGGCAGAGGAGCAGCAAGTTGGTGGAGGAGAGGGGAGGAGGACCGAGCAGGACGACGCGAAGAGTGGAAGCGACGCGCTGTCAGCCTGCAGGGCCCAGCGTGCCGCAGTGGCCGCCGCTGCGGCACGCCAATCAAGATCGGACCTTGGCATGGCTCGGACGTGTGCAGTTGTTCTTGGCGAGCACGTTAGAGGAGGATCTTTGATCATCGAGCCAAGAACCACACGCACGAATGCGAAACATGCACGTGGAATGGACGTCCGAGCGATGGCAAGATATCCGACGTCTTGTTTTTTGTTTTCGGCATGGCCCTCCCCCCAGATGTGCAGACCCTTCCCCCCCAGGGCCGGATCTTGCCGCTCCGAACAGTCTCTTGCAGTGCCCTGCGATGGCCCCAGAGGCAGACATCGGCCAAGCACCTCCGCTTTCTTCTTTGCTTTCCGAAACGCCAGACCCTGAGATCCTAGCGTCTCAATTTATTCGAGCTAGGCGTTTTCGCTTGGCTTCGGGCCCCAGGACCCTCATACATCGATCTGGCTCGAAAGTCGAAGCAGAACGATGGGGTCTGGGGCTCCGGGCTTCGGTCGTGATTGTTCACGGGGTTGTATTTTTACCTAACAGCGAAGACTGATAGGTTTCTAATGGGGTCAAAAGAGAGCATCTGATGACTCCCCAGGGGGGTCTGGGCGGGAGCCGGACAGGCGAGGGCCGGGCTCGTTTTAAGCAAACATTCACACACTTCGTGCTCTTCGAACTCCCAGAAATCCATTCCCGGGCCACATTCTGAATGCCCCGAGCCAACTGTAGGCCACTTCGTGGTCTTCGAGTTCCCAGAACTCCATTCCCGGGCCACATTTTGAATGCCCGGAGCCAACTCTAGGCCACTTCGTGGTCTTCGAGTTCCCAGAACTCCATTCCTGGGCATGATTTTGAATGCCCGGAGCCAACTGTAGGCCACTTCGTGGTCGTCGAGTTCCCAGAACTCCACTCCTGGGCCACATTTTGAATGCTGAGGGAGGCTGATGCTGAGGCTGAGGCAGGCTGAGGCTGAGGCAGGCTGAGGCTGAGGCCGAGGCTGAAGGCAGACTGAAGGCTGAGGCAGACTGATGCTGAGGCTGAGGCAGGCTGAGGCTGAGGCCGAGACTGAAGGCAGACTGAGGCTGAGGCTGAAGCAGGCTGAGGCTGAGGCTGAGGCAGGCTGAGGCTGAGGCTGAGGCAGGCTGATGCTGAGGCAGGCTGAGGCTGAGGCTGAGGCTGATGCAGGCTGAGGCTGAGGCAGGCTGAGGCTGAGGCCGAGGCTGAAGGCAGACTGAGGCTGAGGCTGAAGCAGGCTGAGGCTGAGGCAGAGGCAGGCTGAGGCTGAGGCTGAGGCAGGCTGAGGCTGAGGCAGGCTGAGGCTGAGGCTGAGGCTGATGCAGGCTGAGGCTGAGGCAGGCAGGCTGAGGCTGAGGCCGAGGCTGAAGGCAGACTGAGGCTGAGGCTGAAGCAGGCTGAGGCTGAGGCTGAGGCAGGCTGAGGCTGAGGCAGGCTGAGGCTGAGGCTGAGGCTGAGGCTGCAGGCTGAGGCTGAGGCAGGCTGAGGCTGAGGCCAGGCTGAGGCTGAGGCTGAGGCTGAGGCTGAGGCTGAGGCTGAGGCTGAGGCTGAGGCTGAGGCTGAGGCTGAGGCAGGCTGAGGCTGAGGCAGGCTGAGGCTGAGGCTGAGGCTGAGGCAGGCTGAGGCTGAGGCTGAGGCTGAGCTGAGGCCAGGCTGAGGCTGAGGCTGAGGCAGGCTGAGGCTGAGGCTGAGGCTGAGGCTGAGGCTGAGGCTGAGGCTGAGGCTGAGGCTGAGGCCGAGGCTGATGAGGCTGAGGCTGAAGCAGGCTGAGGCTGAGGCTGAGGCTGAGGCTGAGGCAGGCTGAGGCTGAGGCTGAGGCTGAGGCAGGCTGAGGCTGAGGCAGGCTGAGGCTGAGGCCGAGGCTGCAGGCAGACTGAGGCTGAGGCTGAAGCAGGCTGAGGCTGAGGCTGAGGCAGGCTGAGGCTGAGGCTGAGGCTGAGGCTGATGCTGAGGCAGGCTGAGGCTGAGGCTGAGGCTGATGCAGGCCATTGCGACTGTCATCGCGAATGCGACTACGACTGCGAGAACAGCAGAATTCTACAACTGGATTCTCATCTGAATCTTAAGGGGAAGGCTTCCAGACATGCTCCTACACATCGCTGTTAGGTTGCTTTGCCGGGATAATTTTCTACGTCGAGTCTCAAGGGAGGGGGGGGGGCAGGGAGGGAGGGAGGGAGCGAGCGATGGAGGGAGCAAGGATGAAGGGGGAGGAGGAGGAGGAGGAGGAGGAGGAGGAGGAGGAGGAGGAGGAGGAGGAGGAGGTCCCGAGCGATGAAGGAAGCGTCTGGTGCCCAAACGCCTCTCAGCTGAGGGAAAACAGAGACTGCGCTGCACGCCATAATAGTGCAACGCGCAGTTCATCCGTGCCGTGACAGCCCCGACAATGCTTGAAACCAAGTGTGGAGCTTATACGGCACGGGCTCAATCTGGCAAGGGATTTCCAGACCGAGGTGCAGGCGCCTCATCAAACGTGAAACAGCCTGCTCTTGATTGGCACGGGTCGATGGCACTTCACTTGCACCAACACAGTGTTTATCCAACTTCCTGTTCCGACCATGGCTAATGGAATAAGCCCCGCACGCAAGACAAATGAGGTGGGGCCCGAACCTCTCGTCCACGTGCCCGAGACTCTTCAAATGAGAAACCTCAGGATCCTCCCCGCCTCCGTCCTCCGCGACGACGACGACCCCCCCCTCCCCCCTGGCGGCTGCAGCGTCCCTGCGCCTGGCCTCGGGCCCAGCAAGTGCTGGGGCAGGGCCACCAGCAGCAAGAAGCGCCTGGACCACGGCCTCCGAAGGCGGCCGATACGCCTCGGGGGTGCAAGAGAAAAACCTGCGCGCGGCGGCTCTCTCTCTGGGGGTGGGCTCGCACGGACGGCCTCGCAATGCTTTCAACGAGCCAGCAGTGCGAGACCAGTGATTACAACTTTGGCACATGAATTCATTGAGCCGATCGCAGACCAAGAAATCATGCGCCTCGATGGCCAAGACAGGTGCAGGAGGGGGAGCTCTCGGGGCCTCAGGGGTGGCTTCCTTCGGCTGGAGCTCATCGACCCTCCACGCAACAGTTCTGGACATCCATGAAAAAACTTCAGCGTCCTTGCTCGCCTGTTGGAGCCTGCCGCTGTAATGATCTTCAAGTACTTTGGCAACTGCAATCGATCGAGCTCCTTTTTGGGGCAAAATAGTCAGCCCAATCATTGCCAATGAAATCGAGAAATTCTGCAGTGTGATCTGCTAAAACTTGCTCCACTGTGCGGTGTGCTGGTGCCCAAGAGAAACGGGGCGGCTCGGAGTCAAGCCCTTGGTCAGCATGCAAGGAATGCGAGGAGCGCCAGACCGAAGCATGACGAGACCGCGCCGACTCGTTACGATGGTTCCAATTGCTTCCAGCTTGCACCAGGGAGAGATGATCAGACACAATGGTGGTGTTCACACCTGCATATTTGACGGCCATGAGGGACGCATAATATTCCGCTCTCGGCACCGTCTGAATTGCACCTGGCAAGCCACCGTAGGCAGCTCGCAGGATTATGCCTGAAGCGTCGAGTTCAATCACTGACCATCCACATCTGGTAAGGCCAGGATGAGAGGAGGCCAGGCCCGACCCGTCAGTGTACACCCGAGACCCCCACTCACCACGCCAATCCCCCCACCCATACACAGGCAGCGTAGCAGGAGGGGGCTCAGGACTGGGCGGAGCGGGCGGCAGCCCATAGCACATATAAAACAGATCAAGATCCTCAGAGCTCTGACCAAGTCCTTCGATCATGGCCTGCCTATGCTCCAAGACATCGTCAGGGGCTTCTCGTCATCAGGAACGAGGAGGAGGAGGAGGAGGAGGAGGAGGAGGAGGAGGAGGAGGAGGAGGAGCCTGTCGTGATTTTCACGGTGTTGTATTTTGTTTCGCTGCTCTGGGTTCCGTCGGATCCCCGGGGAGGTCCTGGCCCGACGGCGCCGAGCCTCGGAGAGGCCCGTCGGGCCAGGCCGGGCGGGGCCTCCCGGCCTGCCGGGCCAGGCCTTCGAGGCCCGTGGGGCCCGCGCGGCCAGATCCCCCCGAGAGCACGACGACGACGCCGACGGCGATGACGACGACGGCGACGGCGACAGCGACGACGACGACGACGACGACGACGACGGGCGGGTTCCAGAAAAAGCTTCGCCTTCGAGACTTGGAGGAGTCGTCGTCTCTTCCTTGGCGTAGGGCGGCGGAGGGGCGGCGGAGGCCCCCGCCGAGGTAGGACGAGGCCGCCTCCGCCTGCGGAAGGTCGGCGGGGGCCGGCGGAGGTAAGGCATTCGAGCAGTGGCGAAGCGTCCTGGCTTTCCTATGCAGGCCCACCGAAACGTGTTCTGAGTACGTTTTGTGGTCTGCACGAAATGTTCTTAGAACATGTTTGGTTTAGTCTGTCTTGTTTTACCACATCGGGCTTATGTTCTAAGAACACTGTTTTTGTTACTGGAACATTCTTGGTTTCTAAGACCATGGGGTGGTAGGCCTGTAGGAATGCCGGGATGGTCGGCCCCTGCTCAAGACATGCCCCCAGCACGCGCGGGCCCAGGGCCTCCAGAAGCGGCCGGCCCCCCCCCCGCCCACCGGGAGAGGCCGAGCGGGGCGGCTTGCTCTCGGACGGCACGAGCCACGCCGAGCTGCAGCGCATGGTCGGCGACCTCACGGGCAGGCCCAGGATCGGCGGCGAGCGAGGAGGGGAAGCGAGAAGGAGAAGGCCTTGTCTCAAGTAGTGGCGAAGCGTCCTGGCTTGCCGATAGGCCCACCAAAGAATGTTGTAAGAACCTTTTGTGGTTTGCACGAAGTGTTATCAGAACCTTTCTGGCCTGGACTGCCTTGCTTTAACGCATCGGGTCTACGTTCTAAGAACACAGTGCTTTCTTATAACGTTTTTGGCTTCCAAGGACAATTCGTGGTATGCCTATAGGAATGCCGGGACGGTCGGTCCTTGCAAAATTCTCAGAAGGCGGCAGGGCTTCTCAGAAGCCCTCCGGCCTTCTGAGAAGTTCTCTGCACGTCGTCGGGGAAGGCACAGAATGCTTTGCAGAAGGGGCCAGAGGACTCCCGAGCCTTCTGACAAGGCCCGTCCCCTCTCGCGCCCCCCCCGGGCGCGCCGCCCACAGGATGCCGTCGGCCTTCTTCCACGACTTCCAGGAGGGGGGGCTGCCCTGAGATCCTGGCGTCTCAACTTCTTCGAGCCAGGCGCTCTCGCCCAGCCTTGGGGCCCAGGGGCCCGCACAGATCGCTGGGGCTCGAAAGAGGGGGGCAGGATGAGGGGGCCCGGGGCTCCGGTCGTGATGTTCCACGGTGTTGCAGTGCCCCGCTGCGTCGGATCTCAGGGCCCGTGGAGGCTCACGCGCGTCGCGTGCGCGCGCGCGCGGTGGGAGCCTGTCTACACCGGCCCCACTCCCAGACTCAGCTGCAGCCACACCACCGCTGGTACGCACTTTCAGTGCCTTTGCGACTGCATTGTTTGTAAAGCTGGAGCAATCTTCAAACAAGAAGACACGTGTCCGTTGCCCTTGCTGCTGCGGCTGCTGCGGCTGCTGCTGCTGATTATCCTGCCTCTCCGTCACGGCCCCAAAACCTCGTACCACTTGCTCCTCCTGATCTTCCCACCACTCTACATCCTCCTGCCCCTTCTCCACAGCTCCCAGCTCTCTCTCCTGCCTCTTCCGTCATTCCCATTCCCCTTGCCTTCTTCCACGGCCCCCGGCTTCTCCTTCTCCTTCGTTCCCTCCCGCTCATCCTGTTTATTCTCCAGTCCCTCCTCACCCTCCACCTCCCGCTCCCCCTGTTTTTACAGCTGCTGCTGCCTCCTCGTCTGAGCCCTCATCCTCCAGCCTCTCCTCCACGACCTCCCAGTCTGGCTGCCCCTGCTGCTGCTGCTGCTGCTGCTGCTGCTGCCGCTGCCGCTGCCGCTGCCGCTGCCGCTGCCGCTGCCGCTGCCGCTGCCGCTGCTGCCGCCGCTGCTGCTGCTCCTCCCTGCCCAGCGCTCGGGGAGGCAGCAGGGAGGGCTCCCCGTCTTGGCCCTCGACCCCTTCCGAAAGCTCTGCCGCGGCCTCGCGCAGGCGCGAGACGGCGCCGCCGCCGCAGGGCCCTTTCGGCCTCTCCTGCCGCCCCCGCGCGCGTGCCGCGCGCGCGCCCGCGAGCCCGCGCGCGCGCCCGCGCGTGTCGCCCGCGCGTGCTTCCCGCGCGGGCGATGTTCCGCCCGGAACTTCGCGCCCAGCGCTGCGCTGCTGCACCGGGGCGCGCGTGAGGCCCGCACGGCTGGAGGGGGGAGGATGTCTCGTGCGGTGCGGGGCCTGCGGGTCCGTCGGGGTGGGCAGGGCCTTGCTGGCCCCCTGCCCTGGCCCTCTGTATATGCCCCCCTCTCATCTTGAGGTCTTGCTTCGAGTCCGGCACAGGACGACAGCGCTACTGGACTGCGCCTGGCCCTCAAAAAAAAAGGCCAACGCGGACGCACTTCTCCAAGCGGCAGCGTCACCGACTCCCCTGTAATCAGAGCGTGGATTACCTACCCCGCTTTCGCTTCCAGGCAAAACCAAGTCATACCACGCGCCTCCTCGGCAAGCGGCCTGACCAGTACATGCCGTAGTTTGGCATTGCTTGGTATCTCTTGGAAGCGAGGGTGGTCAAAAGCGAGGTAGGTTTGTTTTCCCCTTATGTAACGACTGCCCTCGACCTCAGATCCACGGCGGCCTGCAGCAAAGTGAGACACCTGCAAGCTCCGGCGGGACCGGAGAGGCAAATACCAGAGCTGATGCCTGGCCATACGTCTAGGGCAAAGCTCATGGCACAGTCAACCAACGCGTGGTCTGGCATGTCGATGAGAGAAGGTGTTTTGTTCACATACGCGCCTCGAGCCAGGGTACTTTTCTCCCCGTTCGACGTCTTCAGACGCTGCGCCTCCGCTGGGTCAAGCCAGTGCAATGCAAAGGGTTGTCCGGGGAGGAGGAGGCGGAGGAGGCGGAGGAGCTCACATTCGTCGGCATCTCCCCAGTGCTGGTGGCGAGCGCTTACTCTGCGCCCCTGAGGGCCTCTGTCTGCAGCTTAGCTTTTTCGCATTTCTTTCCCCCAGCGCTCGCCACTCCAGCTAAATTTGTTTGTTTCTTTGCCGAAGTCGGCGATTTGTTTTCTGGTTGCACCACTGACGCCTTAAACTTGCTCTTCAGGTCCGATCAACGTCGAAGAAAGAGGAGGAGCTCACAGCCGCTACCGCGACAGGCCTCGGCATCTGTCAATGTCCCTCCCCAGTGATCAGTGTTGGTGGTGGGCTGAATGAGTTGCACTTCGACCGCAGTCTTCCCCGCGCGTGCCAACTGTGAGTTTTGGGGGCGCGGGGGGGGGCCCACTGATTGCTTCCTCCTCCCGCGAGGTCCGGCGCCCGAGCGGCGGCGATGGAGCTCAAGGACCCCTCGAAGGCAGGCGTGCAGGCCGCCGCCACCAGCATCGCCGGGGCCCTCGCGGCTCAGCAGTGCCGCCTGTGGCAGGCGAGCCGCCGCCGCCGCCGCCTAGCGGCGAGGGCGCTGGCAGTGGCGACGGCGAAAGCGGGTCGGGGACAACGTGAGGGGGGAATGGGCTCCTCTTCCTCCTCCTCTTCCTCCTCCTCCTCCTCCTCCTCCTCCTCCTCCTCCTCCTGGGACGTGGTGCCGCTCCAGCTTCTGCCCTGGCTCATCACTATTCTTCAAGGTGTATTACCTGCCTCTCGTGCGTGGCGCAGTTGGTACCTCTTCCAGGTGATCACCGGCAGCGTGAGCTCGGCCTTCTTGCGTCCACGTTTCGGCTTCCATTGGGTGCTATGCAGCCTGCTCAATACATGCGTCTACGCGAATGGGGTGGCCCTCGCATCTCCTCGTGGGCAACGTCGACTTTAGCGGCCTTGATGCGTGCGTCCTGGATTACGTTTGGCGAGGTCGTCGTGCCCCTGTACCGTCAGTTCGTGTCCGAGGTTTCGTCTCAGATCTTGCACCTGCCCATCTCCAGGCTGAACGACATGGGTGAACTAGCAACGCTTTCTCCTGGCTTCTGGGTGGTGCCGAGCTTCGTGGAGCGCCTGCACGCGGTGCGGTCCTGCAGTCGCTGTCCCGGCCTTCCTGCACCTCATCTTCTTCGCGCGGGTCGTGATGCGCTGGGTCGTCTGCTTGAGGATGCTGGACTTGGCCAGCGCGCAGCGCGTTCGGGACAGGCTCTGCCTGAACGCGCTGTTGACATGCCTCGTCCCGTTTCCCTTACGCCTGGAGTGCCAACGACTCCCCGTGTTCCCACCCCCACCTCCACCTCTGCTCCCATACGGCCTGATGCTGTTCTTCCTCAGCCAAGGTGTAAGCTGAAATGGCAGCGAGCTGTTCATCTCTCGCTATATTCCTCCTGCTCCTCGACTTCGACGATCCCGAACTGGGCTTCCAAGCAGCTGCTGAAATGGTGGCCCCGGTACGCTCCGATACTAGCACAGGTGGACTGGGACACCCTCCGCACGCGCATCATGAGGCTCCCCACTTCCTGGGCCTGGCCGATCCTGAGGTCTTGGGGGAACGCCTGGATGACCTCGTGGCGGATCCTTGGGGAAAACCGGCCTTGCATCTTTGGCTGCCCGTGCGAGAAAGACCGATTGAAGCACTATGTGGCATGCCCCATCCTATGGCGTGCCATTCGAGTGGCACTACATGCTCCTGCTGCTGATCTTCCTGTCCATCGTCTGGATCGCCTGTGCGTGCGGATTCCTGACCACGACCGCCACTTCGAGGTCCTTGTGATTGCCTATACGGCGTACCACGCCATCAAGTACATCGATGCCGACATCGTCGAATTCGGTCAGCTCGTGGACCATATCAAGGCCTCAGAGAGGGCCCTCCACTTGCCCCGCCACGCGCCGTCGGCTTGGGCGGCTGCGGGGAGACAAAGTGCGCCGAGGCACGGTGCGCTCCTCCTCCTCCTCCTCCTCCTCCTCCTCCTCCTTCTCCTCCTCCTCCTCCTCCCCCTCCTCCTCCTCCTCCTTCTCCCCCTCCTCTTAGCTCCTCCTCCTAGCCTTCTTCTCCTCCTAGCTCCTCCTCCTCCTCCTCCTCCTAGCTCTTCCTCTTCCTCCTAGCTCCTCCTCCTCCTAGCTCCTCCTCCTCCTAGCTCCTCCTCGTCCTCCTCCTCCTCCTCCTCCTCCTCCTCCTAGCCTTAGCTCCTCCTTTTTCCTCTCCTCCTCCTCCTCCTCCTCCTCCTCTTCCTCCTCCTCCTCCTCCTGGCTCCTAGCTCCTAGCTCCTAGCCTCTTCCTCCTCCTTCTCCTCCTCCTCCTCGTCTTCCTCCTCCTCCTAGCTCCTCCTCCTCCTCAGGTGGGGGGCGTGCCGGGTTCCAGGTTCGAGGATCCAGGTTTTCGGACGTTTTCGTCGGTTCCCGTCGGCTTCCCAGCCTCGGGATGCCTTTCAGCAGGCTTTCGGGCCACAGCTCGGGTCTGCTGGCGGCCGATCGGAATGCTCCGGGCTCCACGCCTCCCTAGGACGCTCTCGAGGCGCAGCTGCTGAAAAGCGTCCCGCAGCGAGAGCCCTGGCATCCGATGTCCTGGTTCTGCCAATGATGGATCCTCAGAAGTTGCGACCCGATCTTCACCACCCACCAAACCACCCCAACCCAACCCGAAGGTCCAAATTTATCCTCGATTTCCAGTGGGGGGGGGGGGTTGGGGAACATTGAAAAAACACATGGAACCCGTACCCCCCCCAACCCGAAATTCGGGTCAACTTCGGGTCTTCGGGTTGGGTTGGGGTGGTTTGTTAGGTAGTCAATCTCCGAGTCGCTGGTGGAATTACGGCCCTGGGTCCAGGCGAAGACCCCCAGAGGCCGGGAATGGCCAAGGGCCTCCCCGCGTCTCACGACGCGGGCACGGCTGGCGAGGGCCCGCGGGGGCCAGACGCGGCGATCTACCTCCGTTCGGGGCCCATGAGAGCGGGGGTCAATGCAAACGGGGGTCAGCAAGAGCGCCAGATCTGGCAGAATCCTGCAGGGCCAGGGTCGCATTGACCCGGGCTTGGGCGCAGGATCCTGCAGGATCCTGCAGGATCCTTCGCAGATTGACCCAGGCTTGGGTGCAGGATCCTGCAGGATCCTGCCAGGGCTGACTGACTCGCGTCTGCATTGACCTGGGTCAGCAGGTCCCCCGGAGGGGGAATGAGGAAGCCCACCTCCTCCTCCTCCTCCTCCTCCTCCTCCTCCACCTCCTCCTCCTCCTCCTCCTCCGTCCTCCGTCCTCCGTCCTCCGTCCTGAGCTCTGCTGTCGAGGCGTTGGAAGCTCTCGGGCCGGGCGCGGACGCGCGGCTCGCACCGCGCGCGGCGCCAGGCCTTCCAGAGCTGGGACACCTCCAACGCCGGAGAGCTGCGGCCGGAGGCCTCGGGTCCCCCGCGCGGGCCGGCCGGCGGGCCGGATGGCGGTCGCGGGCCGACGCCCGGGGCCGCGGACCAGCGCTGTCGTCGAGGGGTCGAGGGATGCGGCTCGGGGGCGGCAAAGGAGGGGGGGTGAGATGACTGAGGGGGGGGGGATATCATGGCGGGGGCCATGACATCTCCACAGATTTCATGGCGCCTCTTCTTATTTCAATACGTCCCCGGGCCCCCCCTGAGCCGCGCACATGCCGCTGGCCATGATAATCCGTAAGGGCTTCGCCCCCTGCCGCCAGCCCTCTCTTTCGCAGAATGAGCTATGCAAGAGCTATGTCATGAGGCCTGGGCGCTGTCGTGAAGCAGTGTCGGAACTTCATGTGAGGCCGACTCGCAATGAGCAAAACCAATAGATGATTAGAGGGGTTACCACACCTGGCGATTGGTAAGACGTCGTGACCCTGCCGATCTGCGTGAGGGGTGCCACCGAATATCAGAAATGTAGCAAATCGCCTTTGTTTTTGGACGATCCCGCCGATCTGCGTGAGGGGTGCAACCGAATGTCAGAAATGTAGCAGATCACTTATGTTTTTGGACCCTGACCCCGCCGATCTGCGTGAGGGGTGCCACCGAATGTCAAACATGTGGCAAATCCCATGTGTTTTTAGACCCTGATCCGCCGATCTGCGTGAGGGGTGCCACCGAATTTCAGGAATGTGGCAAATCCCGTGTGTTTGTGGACCCTGACCCCACCGATCTGCGTGAGGGGTGCCACCGAATTTCAGAAAAGTGGCAAATCCCATGTGTTTTTGGACCCTGACCCCGCCGATCTGCGTGAGAGGTGCCACCGAATGTCAGAAATGTAGCAAATCCCTTGTGCTTTTTGACTCTGACCCCGCCGATCTGCGTGAGGGGTGCAACCGAATTTCAGAAATGTGGCAAATCGCATGTGTTTTTGGACCCTGACCCCGCCGATCTGCGTGAGGGGTGCCGCCGAATGTCAGAAATGTTGCAAATCACCTGCGTTTTTGGACCCTGATCCCGCTGATCTGCGTGAGGGGTGGCACCGGATTTCAGAAATGTTGCAAATCGCATGTGTTTTTGGACCCTGACCCCGCCGATCTGCGTGAGGGGTGCCGCCGAATGTCAGAAATGTGGCAAATCCTATGCGTTTTTGAGCTCTGACCCCGCCGATCTGCGTGAGGGGTGCCACCGAATTTCAAACATGAAGCAAATCGCATATGTTTTTGGACCCTGACCCCGCCGCTTTGCGTGAGAGGTGCCACTGAATGTCAGAAATGTGGCAAATCGCATGTGTTTTTGGACTCTGACCCCGCCGATCCGCGTGAGGGGTGCCACCGAATTTCAGAAAAGTGGCAAATCCCTTTGTTTTTTGACCCTGACCCCGCCGATCTGCGTAAGGGGTGCCACCGAATTTCAGAAATGTGGCAAATCCCATGTGTTTTTGGACCCTGACCCTGCCGATCTGCGTGAGGGGTGTCAATTTTTACCCACCCTAGCAATTCAGACAGCACGATTTTTCCGGAATGAAAATGCCCGTTTTGGGCCTCCCCCCCTCGCGCGGTCCATCAACAAGGAGCAGTAAGCAGCAAGAAGTCAACAAGGAACAGTAAGCAGCAAGAAGCAGAACTGTAACAGTGGAAACCGGAAGCTGCAACTGGTACAGGAATCTGCGAACCTCCGGCCTACAGCCTGGTGGCCCCACAAGGGGGTCGGCGGATTTGCGCCCCCCCTCTTGGGCGCCCCCCTGTTTGCCGCCCCCGAGCGGTCAGGGAACGTTTGCTTGACGTGTTGCGCCTCGGGCGGACGGCACTCGGGGGGGTGGGCAGGGCAACAATCAAAGGTAGGGGGGTCGAGGACGGTATCAACGTGGCCCTGAAGGGGCCCTACGTGACCCCCGATTTGCCGCTGCAGGCCCAACAGGTGCACGGAGGGGGCGCGTTTCTAGCACGTCTATTGCGCTCCCGGGAGCCCAAAGCGCGACAATTGACGGGTGGCAAAGCCAAACACATCCAGACATCCAACGCCTGGAGCAGAAAGCTCAAGACGCAGCTTAGTTCTTGGCCCCTGGGGGCCCTCGCCGGACCCTCGCCTGGCCCCGAACGCCGTCAACAAAAAGACACTGACGCGAACCAATTGCCTTGAGCAAAGGGCCAGTACCATCTGACCCCCGTGGCGGGCACCCCTCTGTCGATTCGAGCTCGGCGGGGGGGCGGGGCTCATAAAGAGGCCCAGGGAGACACACGCATAGTTCTATGGTTTCCACGAACTATTTTCCAACATGCTACAGATTGTCTTATTCCCACCCATTTCCCATATTCTCTTACAAGATAATGAAAATCAGTGTTCGTGTCTATTCTCCCCTCCTGCTGAGTTTCAGGGCAAGTGATCCTGGCGCCCCGGCGCGACTTCTGGCGCGGTCGAAGGGTCGCCGCCTGGGAGCCAGGTCGTCCCCGTGCAGGGCGCGATAAATCCCCACACGCATGCGGGGTTCGATGTCTGGTCATTGGAGCTTTGGGCGGCGACATTGAAATCAGCTTTCCCTGCATTTGCACCGCATGTGGACCGCATGTGTTCCTTCCTTCTGCACCCTCTCGTCCTCTTCCCCCTCCTCGTTCTTTTTGTTTTTCTTGTGAACGGGCGAATCCAGTCCAATTTGGGTCCCAAATGTGTTCCAAATCTGGTCCAAATCAGATCCAAAGCGGACTCAGTGGAGGGCCACGTAGGCTCCCATGGAACAGACCCAAGCGGGGGGGTGGGGGCACCCAGAACATCCTGCGTTGCATTTTTTGCCATACGGGGTCCCCTGAAGTCCTGACCGTTTTCCCAGGGCCCGCTTTCAATTCCGAGTCGTTGCTCGACGGTCCAAGCCCAGTGGCTTGGCGCGAACCCCCAGAGGCCGAGAACGACGCAGGATCTCCGTCCTGCTGTTTTGACGTTGGATGTCCGGGCTGGGGGGGCGTAGTTTCTCCTCTGCTCTCGTCTGCTGCCCCCCCTATCGCCATTCTCTCGTCCCTGGGGCCCTTCTGAGGCCTCGTGGGTTTCTGAGGGCTCTCCTGGAGATCCCCGTGGGGCGCCGTGTGGCGCCTGCCCCGTGGGGCGCCTCGGCGCCCCCATCCCCCTTGCGCTGGGCCCTCCCCCCTCCCCTGCACGTGAGGAGAGAGATCTCCCCGTATGGGGGCGGAGGGCGGCCCGTTTTGCGATGAGGCAGCACCCTCGCGTGAAAAAGGTTCTCTCGCGCGAGTTCCCTTGCGCCGCGCCTGGATCGGTCACGCAGCCTGGGGCGGCCAGTGGGGCGTTGCTGGCGGCGTACGCGGCGGCGGTGCTTGCGGCGTGGCGTTCCCCGTCGAGGGTGCGCCTGCTGCGAGCCGTGGAGGGCATGTTGCGCGCGGCAGTGGCGCGCCTTCGGGCCATGCCGCCGACCACGGCTGCGCCTGGCGCCGCGCCCGCCCAGAGACGGCGGCGGCGTGGGCGCGGGTGCTGTAGGCCCGGTGCCGCGGGCCGGGGCGCGCCTCCCGAGGCGGCCGCGGCGGCAAGAGGCGATGCTGGAGGAGTGCACGCAGAGCCCAGGAAGTTGGAGGCGGCGGGCGGCGGCCACGGGGCGAGGCGGCGGTGGCGCTGCCCGCGCCCTGCGCCCGCTGCCGCCCTCCCGGGAGCAGCTGCGGGGCTTCCTCTGCTGCATGTCGGTGCTCGTGGCGGCGGTGAGGGCGAGGCGGCCGTGCCGGGCGACTCATGGGCCGACGGTGGCCGTCCTGCGCGTCTGGCGGCGGCTCCCGCGGTGCCCGACCCTGCGCTTGCGGCTACGACGACGGCGGCGGCGGCTGGCAGCGCGGCGGCCCTCGCGCCGCTCCAGCAGCCGTCGGCTGGGCTGGCTGCACGGCTGGGGACGCCCCCCCGGCGACCTCCTCTGCCTCATGGAGGCGGCGATGGCGAGCGACACGCTGTCCCCCGCGGACTGCGCCATCGTCGACGACGTGGCGGCGTTCTTGCTGGCTCGGTGTTCGAGGCCTCCCTGCGGGACGTGATGCTTACGCTCGATCCGTCCTCGCGCTGCTGGTCTGCGGCTTGCTTGCGGGGCTCGTCGGCAACGTGTGCGCCTGCGCCGTTTCTGGTGTCGTTGTGGCGTACCTTGTCGTGAGCATCGGCTTCGGGTATGCTGCCCATCCATGGGGCGTTCGCCCTCGGCGCTGCCCAGACTGGCGGGTGTCGGACCCATATTCTCCGCTGGCGCGGCTCTGCCCCCACAGACTCGCGTTCCATCGTTCGGGGCCTTTTTCTCCTCCTCTTCGTCCTCCTCCTCTTCCACCTCCTCCTCCTCCTCCTCCTCCTCCTCCTTCCTCGTCCGCCTCCTCCTCCTCCTCCTCCTCCTCCTCCTCCCTCCTCCCTCCTCCTCCCACTCCCCTCCTCCTCCTCCTCCTCCTCCTCCTCCTCCTCCTCCTCCTCCTCCTCCTCCTCCTCCTCCTCTTCCTCCTCCTCCTTTTCCTTCTCCTCCTCCTCGTCCTCCTCCTCCTTCTTCTCCTCCTCCTTCTCCTCCTCTTCCTCCTCGTCCTCCTCCTCCACGTCCTCCTCCTCCGCGTCCTCCTTCTCGTCCTTCTCCTCCTCGTTTGTCTTCCTTCCTCTCCTCCCCCTTCTCCTGCCCCTCTTCCCTATCCTTTTCCTCCTCCTCCTCCTCCTCCTCCTCGTCGTCCTCCTCCTCCTCCTCCTCGTTTCTCTTCCTCCTTGTCCTCCTCTTCCTCCTCCTCCTCCTCCTCCTCCTCCTTTTCCTTATCCCCCTCTTTCTCCTCCTCCACTTCCTCCTCTTCCTTTTCCATCCTCAGATGTCTTGAAGTCTGCTTCCCAGGAGTCCAAGGAGGACTGCGCCAGGATTTTCTGAGCGCGCACCCAAGGTATGCCGGTTACCTGGAGGCATCCTACTTCTGGGCAGCCGGTAGTGCTGAAGCAAAATACTCCGACTCCTTGGCTGACCCCCTCACCCCCCGTCCTCTGAGGTCTCGTAGCTGCGCGCTGCGTTGACATGAGGCGGTTGGGAGATCGTGTGGGGTCCCTGCCGAGCTGGGTGTCTGTCAAGAGCCCTTTTCCAGTTGTTTCCGCCTTGAGCGCGTCTTCGGGGGGTCGAGCCGAGGTCCCCCATCCAAAGCGCGGGGTGTGGAGTCTGTCCTCTCTCCGTGGCTCCTCTCCTTTCCGCCTCCCCTTCTCACCCCTCCTCCTGGTGCTGCCCCTCTGCTTGCCACTCCCTCTCCACCCCTGTCTTTGTCTGCAGTGGAGCGGTCGGATTGGGGCTCCTCCTGCAATTATTCTCTGGATGAGCCCGGCTCTCCCTGGAGAGGCACTGCGGAGGTAGCCGTCGGTTTCCAGCTCCTCCGTGATTCCCTTGTTGCCGAGGCCTGCCCGAGGCTTCAACATGCCAGCCCAGTTGGGTGCGCTTCCATCCATCCATTCCATCCTACTCCTCTTCCCCTTCCTCCCCCTCCCCCCCATTCCCATGTCCTCCTCTGGGCAGCGACAAAGTGTGTGGTTGCGCTAGGGTGTGGTTTGCGATGTGGGTCGTTGGGGCCTGGAGGGCACGACGCTGTCCTCGTCGGGGCGCGGCGGACAGCTCAGTCGAGGTCCTCGCCCGTCCCCCAGGGTGTCACCCAGGGGGCCGGTTGCAAACCACACCCTTTGCAAACCACACCACTCGGAGTCGCCGATCCTCCTCCTCCTCCACCTCTTACTCCTCCTCCTCTTCCTCCTCTTCCTCTTCTTCCTCCTTCATTCCTTCTCTTTGAAATAATTTTTCCCTGTCGTACCCCGAGGCAAGTTTTTAGGGCGGGCCGGGCGTTTTGCCTGAGACTTCCTCACCACTTTGGATTCTGAAGCTAAAAAATTGGAAACATCTCCGCAGATTGAGGGCGGCCCGTTTTCACAATGTAGCTCTCGCTTTATCGCCGCGCACATTCGTTTTCAGAATTGGCAAAGGCTTTGCGGATTGAGGGCGGATCCTTTTCAAAATGAGAGTCTCGCTTTACCCCCGCGCACATTCGTTGTAACAATTTGCCAGAGCTGCACGTATTCCCATGATCAGCGTACTAGGAATGGGGTTTGGTAAGGGTTCAGGACCATGCGGGTGCAACAGTTACGTTGGTTCGCGGTGTTGAAGTCCCAGGAATGGCGTTCTAGCGCGATGCAGGATCGTCAAGACGCAACACAGGTTGATCCGTGGCGTTGGAATCCCGAGAACCATGTTTTGGCATACTTCAGGGTCTTCAAGCGGATGTCTTCTAACGAGGCGGCTTTCTTAATGGGAATATACCGCTGTAGGGGCCTATGAAGAGGGAACTTGGAGGGACCTGTTTTCCAATATCGTTGATGACCCTTGGGGTTATACAAGTCCTCTTCCTCCTCCTCCGGCTCCTCCCCCATTCCTTATCCTTATAAATAATTTCCCCTGGTCGCACCCCGAGGCCAGTTTTTAGGGCGGACCGGGCGTTTCGCCTGATACTTCCTCATATTTATGACTTTGAAACTTAATCATTGACAACAGTTTCACGGGTTGAGGGCGGGTGGTTTTCAATATGTAGCTCTCGCCTGATCGCCGCGCTTTTTCGTTTTCAAAATTTGCAAGAGTTTCACGGATTGAGGGCGGGGTGTTTTCAACATGTTGTTCTCGCTTTAGCGCCGCGCACATTTGTTTTCAACATTTGCAAGAGTTTGACGTGACGGATAGAGGGCGGGTGGTTTTCAAAATGTGGCTCTCGCCTGAGTGCCGGGCACATGTGTGTTCAAAATTTGCAAGAGCTTCACGGGTTGAGGGAGGGTGGTTTTCAAAATGTGGTTCTCGCCTTAGCGCCGCGCGCATTCGTCTTCAAAGTTTGCAAGAGTTTCACGGGTTGAGGGCGGGTGGGTTTCAAAATGTGGTTCTCGCTTTAGCGCCGCGCACGTTCTTTTTCAATATCTGCAAGAGTTTCACGGGTTGAGGGCGGGTGGTTTTCAAAATGTGGCTCTAGCCTTAGCGCCGCGCACATTCGTTTCCAAAATTTTCAAGAGTTCCACGGATTGACGGCGGGTGTTGTTCAAAGTGTGGTTCTCTCAGCGCCGCGCACATTCGTTTTCAACATTTGCAAGAGCTTCACGGGTTGAGGGCGGGTGGTTTTCAAATTGTGCTTATCGCTTTAGCTCCGCGCACATAATTGTTAAAACATTAGAAGGGTTTCGCGGATTCCTATGATCCACGTACCAGAAATGGCCCTTTGGAAGGGCTCACAACTATGAGGGCGCAACAGTCATGATGATTCGCGGTGTTGAAGTCCCAGGAATGGCGTTCTGGCGCGATTCAGGATCTTCAAGACGCAACAGTCAGGTTTATCCGTGGCGTTGGGGTCCCGAGAACCATGTTTGGGCATGCTTCAGGGTCTTCGAACGAATGTCTTCCAATGAGGCAGTTTTCCCAATGGGGATATGCCGTTGTAGGGGCCTATGCGGAGGGAACTTGGAGGGAGGGTTTCTCCCAACATCAACCATTGTATGGGGTCTATGAAGAGGGAGTTTGGGGGAGGGCTTATTCCAACATCGTTGGTGACTCTGGGGTTTACTCTGGTCCTCCTCCTCCTCGTCCTGCTCCTCCTGTTCCTCCTCCTGTTCCTTCTACTCCTCCTCCTCCCGTTCCTCCTGCTCCTCCTTCTCCTCCTCTTCCATTCCTGTTCACTGAAATAACTTCTCCCTGTCGCACCTCGAGGCCAGTTTTTAAGGCGGGCCGGGCGGGCCGCCTGATACTTCCTCACCATTTATGGCTCTGAAGCTTAACCATTGACAATATATTTAGTTTCGCGAATTGAGTGCGGCTCGTTTTCAAATGTGGTGTTCGCTCTATCGCCGCGCACATTCGTTTTGACACAGTGAACGAGTCTTAACGATTGAGGGCGGTTCCTTTTCAAAATGTGGTTCTCGCCTCAGCGCCGCGATTATTCGCTTTAAAATTCTGCAAGAGTTTCACAAATTCCCATGATCAACGCGCCAAATGGGTTTGTGGAAGGATTCAGGATCATGCGGGTGCAGCAGTGACGTTGATTCGCGGTGTTGAAGTCCCATGAATGGCGTGTTGGCGCGATTCAGGATCGTCGAGACGCAACAGTCAGCTTGATCCGTGGCGTTGGAATCCCGAGAAACATGTTTTGGCATGCTTCAGGGTCTTCAAACGGATGTCTTCCAACGAGGCAGTTTTCCCAAAGGGGATTTTCCGTTGAAGGGGCCTATGAGGAGGGAGCTTGGAGGAAGGGTTTATCCCTACATCGTTGATGACTCTTGGGGTTCAACTGGTCCTCCTCCTCCTCCTCCTCCTCCTCCTCCTTATCCTCCCCCTTTTCTTCCCCCGCAGGAGTTCGCCACCGCGCTAGCCAGCCTTGGCCTCCGCGCATCGCCCGACGCCGCCCGCGCGGTCTTCGAGGCGCGCGCGCGCGCCGGGCGTGCCGTCGCCGTCGCCGCCGTCGTCGCCGCCGCCGCCGTCGTCCCCGTCGTTGTCGTCGTCGTCGTCGTCGTCGTGGTGGTGGTGGTGGTCGTGGTGGTGGTGGTGGTGGTGGTCGTTCAACGTCGTCGTCGTCGTCGGGATGTTGGTGGTGGTGGTGTTGGTGGTGGTGGTGGTGGTGGTCGTCGTCGTCTGTCGTCGTCGTCTTCGCCGTCGCCGTCGTCGTCGTATCGGGGCTTTCCAGGAGCGTACCTGGCCTAAGGTGTCCCTAGCATTCCGCTCAATTTTGGAGCACGTGGGCCCCCCGGGCCTCGCGAGGGGTGCTCCGGAGTCCTTGGTGGCTGGCCTCCTCTGACATCCTAGGGGCGCCTTTGGCCAGGGACACCTCTGGCAGCACCCGATCGCTCGTCGTCGATTTCGTCGTCCGCCGTAGTCTCACCGGCGTTTTCCCTGTACGCCGTCGCGGTCGCTGTCGCCGTGGCTGTCGGCGCCCTTTACTCCGCCCGCCGCCGTGTTCCCTGTCCGCTGTCGCCGCCGTCCGCCGTCGCCAGAGCGAGCTCGAGGCTCCGGCGAGAGCTGAGAAGGATGGGCGAGGAGACGGAGGAGAGGGATGAGGAAGAGGAGGAGAAGGAGGAGGAAGAGAAGGAGAAGGAGGAGGAGGAGGAGGTGGAGGAGGAAACACGGAGGAGGAGGAGGAGGTCGAGGAGGAAAAGGAGGATGATGATGAGGAGGAGGAGGTGGAGGAGGAGAGAAGGCAACGTTCGACGAACTTTCGTGCCTTCTGTGCTGCAGTGCTCAGGAGGAGGGGGGAGGGGAGAAAGATCGGAAAAACGCAATCATGGATTAACGCACTTGGATGAACGACGGGTCCCGCTGACATGCCAAACCGGCGCGCTCCGTCGCCAAATCAGGCGGCACCGGCTTCCTGTTCGCCATGTCAGGCGGCAGCCACGCCATGTTTCGGGGGATGAGTACCTCCCCCGATCCGTCGATCTGGCGCCCACGCTCACTCTGCAAGCATCTGCGCGCCACGAGAGTCTCCGCCCCCTGGGGGTGCGAAGATCGACTCGCTCCCCAGGTCTTGGCCGGCAGGGCCGCGTGGGGGTGCGGCGCGGCAGCGCGGCGACGATCGCCGCGCACCGCGAGTGCGCGCGCGAGGCGCGCGAGGCACGCGAGGCAGGGCGGCCGAGAGAGAGAGAGGGGTCTCGGCCCCCCTGGGGACTACGCCCCCCTCCGCAGACGCCCCAGCGTCTTGGAGCAAGATCGACTGCACGTAAGAGTGTCGATGATCCTCAGGACGTGTGTTAGCCCAATGCGTGTGTGTGTGTGTGTGTGTGTGTGTGTGTGTGCTTTCCCCGTCCAGCACAATCAGTCGATCATCACATCGCCTTCGTCGTATTGAAGGGCCTCCGTGGGCAAACACACGGGGGCGCTAACACGCGTTCTGAGGATCATCGAGAGTGATCTGTCGCAGGAGTGCCTTTCGGTGCGGTCCCACTGGGGACCCCGAGATCGCTGAACGCGAAGCGGCAGCAGCGGCTTGCGCGCCCGGGTCTGGCCACCCCGCGTCCCCCCGTGAAGTCGTGCACCCAAAGGTCACTCCTGCCTGGGGTCACTCTCACGTGTAACCGACCAACGTCTTGGAGCAGGGCCCCTATGGGCTTGACGACTTTTCGCCAATCGACGTGTGGGGATCGGGCCAGATAACCGCATGCCGATGATAATAAAGGGACCCCCCCCCTTCAGTGTTTAGAGTTGATTATCGTCGCCCTATACAAAATTCAAATTGGGCGGCGAGCGCTGAGGCCGAACTTCATTATCACCTCGAAACGCTATGTTGAGATAGCAACATCAAGCGATGTTGATATAGCAACATCAAGCGAAGCGATCACACTTTTTCAGGATGTGTCAAGCGAAACCAATAATTTTGGGAGGCAGACTCAAACGAAACGAGCAATGTTCTTATTATTATTCTACTTTCCTCTTCTTCTTTTATATTTCTATCTGTCCTCACGCTCGCCTGAACTTTTTTATCCCTGGGGTTGATTATCCATGGAAAATGAAGCACATGAGCTACCCTACACGATCACTTAAAAAAACAAGTTTCATAAAGCGTTTGTAAATTAAAATTGATAGATTTGGAACTTTGGATTTTTCCTTTCTTCGTCCTCTTCTTATTCTCCTCTTCTTCTTCTTTCTTATTATTCTTCTACTGTATTCTTCTTCTTTTATATTTCTCTCTGTCCCCACGCTCGCCTGAATTTTTTTATCTCTGGGGTTGATTATCCATGGAAATTGAGGCACATGAGCTACCCTACACGAGCACTTACAAAAAACAATTTTCATGAGAGATAAGCCATTGTTGAGGATATTTCTATGAAAACTAAACGCCAAGGATGTCTCAAAACGTGCTCGGCTTGGTCTCCTCTTGATCATCTCTTACTTCGAGATTATGCTGAGGTCTGCTGGGCTACTTTTATTATCTCTCCCTGAACCCCGAACTTTATTATCCCCTAGTGTTTATTCTCACGGGCATGAGGTTAAATCCAGGTAAATGCAGACACATCGAGGTACAGCCAGGTAAATCCAGGCAAATCCATCAACATCCTGAGATAGCAAGGGAAAGTTGGAGCAAATCGCGACCGCTCCAGCGCGAGCCGAGGGACGTCAAGAGTCGTCAAGCCCAGGAAGCCAAGAGTGAGGCCCGGCGCCGTCCTTCCTCGGCCCCCCGAGGCTCTCGCCGGGCTCCTGGAGCGTCGGGCAGCGACTCGGGGTGCGAAAGGCCGGCCCGGCGGGGAGAGGGTCGGGGCGTTTCGGGGGGGGAGGGGGGTGGCCCGCCTCGGGAAGAAGCGACACATCGGATGGCGGGGCCCTGGCCTTCACCTCTGAAGGTATGCGGGGTGGTCCTCCTGAGAAGGGTGCCGCCCCCTGCCTCCCCCTGTTGTCCTCGTCCTCCTCCTCCTCCTCCTCCTCCTCCTCCTCCTCCTCCCTCCTTCCTCCTCCCTCCTTCCTCCTCCTCCTCCTGCTCCTCCTCCTGCTCTTCCTCCGTCTCCTTCTCCTTATCCTCCTCCCGAGACTCGAACGGTAGCTCCTTGTTCAGTGCCGTGTTTCTCGCCTGTGCTGGCCCGCTGCACTGTCTTGGCTCAGGGCCTGATCAGTGCACGGTGCCCGCCTTAGGCGCGCCTTAGATAGCACATCACCATACGCTGTGCTTCCTTTACGGTAGGTTTGCGTCGTGTCGACTCGCGGCGACCCCAGCGCGGGCGTTCAAGGTTGAACGCCGCCGGCGACCCAGAATCGATCGATGTTGAACGATCGGACGTTGCGACAGCGGCCGATCATTCAAGGTTGAACGATCCCTGCGGTGTCAAGAACCAACGCTGGGGTCGGCACGACACGAACCTGCCGTACTTCCTTTACGGAGACATCGTTTCCCTTCTTACATGTTTTTTTTTAATCCGAGGCGAGGATTCGTCCATAACCACCGCCAGGCGTATCGATCCTTGAGGACCTCGGCAGGCGGTGGATATGGATATACTTGGTCCGCCCAGGCCGCGAGTAGATTCGTATCCGCCCCAGGGTGATTCCCTCAGGCGGTTGTTATGGATATATCCTCTCCTCCTGTTCCTCCTCCTCCTCCTCCTCCTCCTCCTCCTCTTCCTCCTCCTCCTGCTGACTGGCTCCCATTCCCTCGCGCGGGCCCTTCATTTTCAACGATGTGAATTGGCCCGTGGCGAGCAAAAACGAATCCTCCGTCTCCTCCTCCTCCTCCTCCTCCTCCTCCTCCTCCTCCCCATCGTCCCCCCTAGCTGGCACACCCCAACCAAAGGGTGGGTCGAGTGCCCACGCCAGCAGCGCTCGCCGATGAGGAAAGCTGCGGTCTTGCCGCAACCCAGGTGCTACGTTTGAGTCACGGGCAGAGAGACAGAGGACATCATTTGAGAGCTCGCTTGCTTGCTTGCTTGCTTGTTTGCTAGCTAGCTTGCTTGCTTGCTTGTTTGCTTGCTTGCTTAGCTTGCTTGCTTCCTCCTCCTCCTTCTCATTCCGACTCCGACCCTCAACCTTCAGCCCTCAACCCTCAACCCCAACCGCCCGACGGCGGTAGCAGCGGCGGCTGCGGCGGCGCCGCCCCCTCCCCGAGGCCCTCGACCTGAAGGGCGACGGCCGCCTCTCCTGCTGGGAGCTGGTTCGGGGCCTGGCCACACTGCAGGCGCGTTGGGCGCGCCCGCGAGCCGTCGCATCGCGCCGTCCGCCGCGGTTGTCGCCTTGGCCGTTGGCGGTTCTTCGACGTCGTTCGTTCGTTCCCTACATGCCTCCCTCCCCTTCTCCCCCCCTTCCTCCCTCCTCCTTCCTCCCTCGTAACTGCCACCCCTCTCCATCGTTCCTTCCTCCCTCCTCCCTCCCCTCTCGGCTGGAACGCGCGGTCACGCTCCAGCTGAGTCGCCACGGCACCACCTGTCTCGGGACGGCCTGCGGGGCCGATGGAGCGCGTCGTTCGTTCGTGCCCTCCCTTTCTTCCTCGCTCTTGCCCCCCCTCCTCCCTCCCCCCTCCTCCCCTCCCCCTCCTCCTGTGCTCTCGGGCCCTCGGGGGGGGCTCCGTGGGGCGTCTGGGGAGGGCCGGGAGACCAGGCACCCAACGTTGTTAGAAGGTCAAGACTCTCTCGTCGGCTCTTCTCCGTCTTCGCCGCCGGCTCCCTGTGGTCTCCCAGCCTCGGGGCGTTTTCCAGCAGCTGCGCCTCGCCCAGGGCATTCGGGCTCGCGCGCGCCAGCGGCGACCTGCTGCAGTTGCGCGTCGTCTTCCAGATTGTCGCCGCCGCCGCCGCCGCCCTCCTTCGAGGCTTCGAGGCGCTCTCGTCGATTCCTGGACGCTTGCGTCGGCTCCCGGTGGTTTCCCAGCCTCGGCGCGCCTGCCAGCAGCTGCGCCTTGCCGAGAGCGTGCTGAGGGTGCCGGGATCGTTCCGAACGGCCGCCGGAGGCCCGAGCTGTGGCTCCGAAGCGAGGCAGCCAATGTGTTGGAAAAGCGAAGCGTCGGTTTGTCACTGTCCGTCTTCAGCCGGCCCCGGGGCTGTCTCAAGAAGGGAAAAAAGCAAGCCCCAGGGAAAGGGTCGGGGCTTCTTGAGGCTCCGTGCTGCACAAATCAAGGCATCGGATGTCATGGTCGTCGTTGCTGCCTCCTCCCCCTCCTCATCCAGCCTCCCCTCCCGGGTCTTCGAGGATCATGCACAAGGAAAGGGCGGCCAGGACATTCTGCCAAAGCCACGGCCTCTTGAACAAACGAGGGCTGAGCAGAGCCGCTGCTCTAGCTTGCGTGCGCGCATCTCGGTGGCAGCGAAAGTTGTCTCCTCCTCCGTCTCTTGTCACCCAGTTTTTACCCATTTCCGTGGTTGCCTTCTTCTCCTCCCCGTCCTCCCTCCTCCCTCCTATGACATGTGTCCATCCTCTGCCCCCCTCTCCTCCCGCTTTGTTTCGCCTTCTGGCCAAGGGTCCTTCCAGGTTGCTGTTCTTGTTCTCGCTTGCCCCCCGCGTTTGGTCGCCTGCCGCTTTGTGCAGTGCTATCTCCGCGGTGGAAATGTAAGCGCCTGCTTTTGCATCACTGCAGTCCGGCCGTGGTGCGGGATAGCCCTCGCCAGGGGCAGCGGCTTCCGCTCTTTCCCTCTCTCTCTTGTTGCCGCTGTCGGTTCTTTCTTTTCTCGGATCGTCTTGTCCTTCCCTTTGCCCGCCCATCCTTTCCTGGCCAGTGTCGCTCCTCCTCTCCCTCCTCCTCCTCCTCGCCTTCCTCCCCCTGCCCCTTGTCCCTTCCACGGAGGGGTAGGGGAAGGACCAGAAGGAGGATGAGGGCTGACGACGACTACGACAACGCCGCCGACGACGACGACCTCGAAAGACCAACGACGACCACGACGACCAAGACCACGAACGACGGGCTTCAGGCGGATGGCGAGACTTGCTAGAGGAGGGAGGAGGTGGTGCACACACGAAGAACACGGGGAACGCGGGGAGAAGGAGGAAGAGGGGGGACGGCGGACGGGGAACACGAGGAGCACACGTACGGTGTATCCGTGCCGTGTGGACGCGCTGACGACCCCTGGCGCGGGCGCTCAAGATTGAACGCCGCCAGTGGCCCGGAACCGGCCGGTGTCGAAATGTCTGCGAAGGCCGCGGTCGCTGAAGGTTGAACGATCCACGCGGCAGTTCGGGACCAGCTCCGCACGCCCATGCCATCGCGCTACGGACCTGCCGCAGGAGAAGGGCTGGAGGAAGAGCAAGAGGAGGAGGAGGAGGAGGAGGAGGAGGAGGAGGAGGAGGAAAAAGAGGAGGAGGAGGAGGAGGAGGAGGAGGAGGGAGGGAGGGAGGGAGGGAGGGATTGCGACTCTGATGGGGCTCTCGACCTGTCAGAAGAGGCTGGCACTCAATTATCTGGCAGCAACTGGTATTCAGCCAGCGGACAGAACGGGCGCCAAGGTCTTGTGAGAAACCGATCCTCCCCCCTCCCAATCCCCGAGCTCCAATCCTTCGGAGGGAGGGATGGAGGAGGAGGAGGAAGAGGAGGAGGAGGGGGAAGAGGAGGAGGAGGAGCAACAGCAGCAGCAGGATAAGGACGTTCCCGGGTCCCGGGGGGCATCCTTTTGCCCTCGTGTCGTTCCCCGTCGGCTTTCTTTTCAAGTTGATGACTGGGGCCCGTCTTCTTCTCGGGGCCAGGTCCATTTCGAGGGCCGCAGCCCCATGGAGAGAAACAGAGGTCTTCAGAAGTCTCGATCCTTTCCACACGGGTCAGTTTTTATCCCGAGCCCTTTTTGACGGCTCCAGGGCCAGACTGCAAGAGGCTTCCGTCTTGATCTGGACCGCCAGTTTTAACAGCCCCGGAGCCCGAAACTGGCGCCGCGATAGCGGCGAACGACACCCGTCTTGTGTTTTGCTCAAGGCTCGGGCCTCTGGCGGCCGATCGGGACGACCCCAGCACCCCCAGGACAGTGTCGGGGAGCCGCAGCTGCTGGCAGGCGCCCCGAGGCTGGGAAACCACCCGGGAGCCGACGGAAACGCCCAGGAACTGGCGAGAGCACTTCGACGCCTCGAGGGGAGGGCGGCGGCGGCGGCGACCGGTTCGAAGACGAAGCGCCGCCGAGGGCGGCGGCGCCTCGGCGCCGAAGGCGGGCGCCGCGCAGCTGCAGCAGGCCGCCGCCCCCGCGCGCGAGCTCTCGGCGGCGGCTGCCGCTGTCGCCGCCCGTCGGCCGCCGGGCTGCCGGCGGCTACACGTTGGAGCCGTCTGTCTGGACGCCCGAAATGGGTACCGAAAGAATGGGTACGATGCCCAACAGCAGTTCCTGTTCATTTTGAACAGGCCTCGCTGTCCACGCCGCCGCGGCCTGTGTCCATTCGAGACAGGAGGCCGCCTGCCCAACAGCGGCCGCTGTTGGTTTGGGACACCATTTGCTGTTGGGCATGGTACCCATTTTTTCGGTACCCAATTCGGGCGTCCAAAGTCTGGGGACCTGAGGTGGCCCAGCACTGGTTCCGGCCAGCAGGAAGGGCGGGCAGGTTCGAGGATCTGGGTTCGGGAAGGTCTCTGGGCCTGTTCGGCGTCCAGGACCATCAAAAATGGATCCGGGGTGAGCACACGCACCAGATGGACCCCCCCGGGAGGGGACCGGGGACCGATTTTGAGCAGATTTGGCTTCACCCCCCCCTCCTGACCGATTTCTTTGGATCCCAACCAGTTCAGACCCCCCAGCCTCCAAGCTACAAGGGTGCAGTTACGCTGGAGTGTGGTTTGCGATCTGCGTCGTGGGGGCTTCGGGGGGCACCACGTTGCCCTCGTCGGGCCTCCTGGGGGCGCGGCGGAGAGCTCTGTCGAGGTCCTCGCCCGCCCCCCAGGATGCGGGTTGCAAGCCGCACCCTTTGCAAACCCTTCAAAGTCGCCGAGTCGACGACGCTCAGCCGTGAAGTCTGGTGGCTCGAGCAAGTCGTAATGGCAGTTTTTCTGTTTTCGGCATCTGTCAGGGGAGGATCAGATGCCATTACCGCTGCCTCTCCCTGGTCACCATGGCTGGCTTCGCTTCGAAATCCTAGTCAGAACGCATCCCATCCGAGGTTCGTTGAGCAGCTGTATGGGCATCTCCTTGTTTCCCCAATCTGGGGTCCAGTTTCGGGCCCCAGGGCCATCAGGAAACGATTCCTCCTCCTCCTCCTCCTGTCCCCAGGGCAGGGGTCGAGAGGTCTCCGGGGACGACCGACGGCGGCTCTGACCGACGACGTGCAGGCGACGGCGACGAGGCACGGAGTGACGACGGCCGGCGGCCGGACGACGACGACCGATGGGCGATGATGGAGGACGGACCGGACGGCGACGGCCGGAGGACGACGAAAGACTGATGATGGGGCCTCAAGCGACGGGGGCCAATGCAAACCGATGTCAGTCAGAGCGCCAGATTTCGCAGGGTCCTGCAGGGCCAGGACTGCACGGACCTGGGTTTGGGCAGAGGACCCTGCAGGACCCAGCAAAGCCTGACTGACCCGGGTCTGGATTGACCCGGGTCAGTAGATCCCCGAACGAACGATGACGGAGGACGGATGGCGACGCCCAGAGGATGACGAAAGACGGACGTCGCCGATGACGACGGATGGCGACGACGACGGACGGCGGACGACGGACGGCGACCGACGCAGACGACCGGCGCCGACGACCGACGACGACGACGACGACGACGACGGCCAGCAGCGGCGGACGGCGCCGACGGCGGCGAGGAGGGGGAGGTGGAGGAGCCGGAGGGCCGGAGGCCAGCGGCGGCAGAGGCGGCGGGCTGCAGTCGGTGACGCCGGGCGGCGCCGTTGTTTGTCGCTCGCCGTCGTTCGAGGGCCTCGCGGCGGCTCTCCCGGGGGCTTTCTTCAGAGGCCTCCGGGGCCCTCGGGTGCCTCTGGCGGCCTTCGGAGGCCTGCGGCGGCCTTCGGCAGCGGGGCGGCGGCCGTGTCGTCGTTCGCCGATACCGTTCGTCGACATCGGGCGTCCGTCGTCTGTTCTGGGTTGTCCGTCGGCGCCGTCTTCGTCCGTAGCCCGTCGCCCGCCGCCCGTCGTCCGTCGTCCGTCGTCCGTCGTCCGTCGTCCGTCGTCCGCCGTCCGTCGTCCGTCGTCCGTCGTCCGTCGTCCGTCGTCGTCGTTCATTGTGTGTCGTCCGTCTTCCGTCGTCCGTCGCCGTCGCCGTCGTCGTCGTCGTCGGCGTCGGCGTCGGCGTCGGCGTCGGCGTCGTTGTTGTCGTCGTTGTCGTCGTTGTCGTCATCGTTGTCGTCGTCGCCGTCGTCGTCGTTGTCATCGTCCGCATCTTCGTCTTTATCCGCGCCGTCTCGTTCGCCGTGCGTCCTCGCTGTCATCGTAGTTCGCCGCTCGTCTTTCGTAGATTGTTGGTCGTACATAGTCATTCGCCGCTCGTCGTTCGTCGTTTGTTGGTCGTCGTTAGGTCTCATCGTGGTCGGTTGTCGGTCGTCGTTCGTTGTCCGTCGTTGTTATTCGTCGTTGTCGTTATTTTGTTCTCGCCTTCCTTCCCCGAGCTGTTCTCCTGCATCCTTTCCCCCCCTCCTCCCCTTCCGCCTTCCTCTTTCCTTCTCGTGCTGTTTCTTCTCGCTCCAAGGCGGCAGCGCCCGCAGAGGCCGAGGGAGTTGCAAAAGAGGAAGGCTCGGCGCCATGGCCGACGAGGCAGACAACGACCTGGCAAAAGTGGAAGGGGCCTTGAGAGGAAAGGACATCAAGCAGGCGCCCAACCTGAAGTTGAAGATGGCGTGCATGCGCGCGCAGGAGCTCCTGGCGTCGTAGGATTGGATCTCGGTGGTGGCCCCGTCCGACTGTGCCCCGATCGTGGCGTCAAAAACGCGGGCAAAAGGTACGGATAAGTGGCGGCGGTGTAGGAGCTGAAAGCGAAGTTGGGCCCTCACTGCTTGTACATCGCGCGAGCCGCGTTCAAATCACTGAGGGACGGCGCCAAGCTGAGGGCGTTGCTGGATTCTGGATGGAATCCGGTCTCAGCTGCTGACAGATGTCTACGGCAAGTTCGTGTCGGTCCTTCGATTTAGGAGCTGGGATTGGCCATACCGCATTTTCGAATGCGCAGGCGCTACAATGAGAGTTCCTGCTGCCTCCAGTGTAGCATAGCTGACGGTTTCACTACGCCGAACCCGGACATCCCGAAGCCTTTCTTGGAGCACGCGGTTATCAAGGCGATGGTTCACCTCGGCAGTCGTTTGAAGTTGGGCACAGCTCCAGCCTGCAACTTGGAGATGATGGCTCATAACATGTTGAATCGGTCCAAGCCCACGGACAAGGGTCGTGGGAGAGCAGTCTGGACGCCATGCGGGACAGGACTCGCCAGCAGAATTTGCGAGTATCGGTGCCAGTGGCTTCCACATCTACGCCATAGCCCGAAACCTCATGGACGTTAGTCTCTCCATATTATTCCCTGACTCGTTTTACGCTGCGCCCATACTTTATACAGGTTGACCAGCCCGTGGTAGAGTTGCGTATGCTTGCCAATGACGTTCTGATATTGATATTCTGGAGTTGCAAAGTTTGGCGACATCGGTCGTTGTGTGTTTTGCTGGTGCCTGGTTTGGACCCCTCCCGTCCCGCGGCAACATGCATCGCCTCTGCCAAGGTTGAGATTAGGGGACCTGTGCGATGCAGAATGATGGCTTGTACCCAAGAAGTCTACTGGAGAGGAGCTGTCAACGGCATCCGATTGGCAAGTATGTTCGTGGCGGTGGCATCGGGCGCGGGTTATTCCGCTGATGCAGTTTCCCACCAACGCGATGGATCTGGCACGGCGTACGATCCAGATCAATGGAGGCGGCTGGTAATTTCTGGGTATCCGACGAGCGGGAGTGGTCATTGTTTCGCGTCTGGTGTGGCTCGCGAGCTCCCCTCGCCTCGATGGGATGTGAAGACTACGCCGCCCGCTTCACTGGATACGTGCCCTACGGCTTCCGCTCCTGAGCCAGCAAATTCTCGCTGCGCCCAACTTCGAGGCTCCGCCCATTACTGTACCTGCCCTGTCCTCTCCCCTCGTTACGGGTGGTTTACATATTCATTTTCGAGCGGGCCGTTGTTTGAAGACCGCACTCCTTCCGTTGCGGCTGGCTCTGTGTTTCTCCTGTGTTGTCCTTGCCCCCTCCTTTTGGTCGCTTCTCTCTTTCCTCGTCGTTCTTCTCTCGTCCTCGGTTACTTGCCTGCTGGGGCGTGGCCCCAAGTCCGGAGAGCTAGCTTGGGGGCCTCAGGGGCCAGCTTGGGGCCCACAGTCTTTCGGGCCTGCGCGGGTGTCACTGGTTGCGATCGGTCGCCGCACTCGTTCGAATGCAGGGCTGCACGGCGCGTTTCGCCCTGACCTCGAAGGCTACTCGTTTATTCGACCGTCAGAGGTGCTGTTTTGCAGATCGCCTAGTCGGCAGCAGGAGGGGTGATACATCATACATGCAGCGCAATGCAGCGTTTTCTTATTGCTTCTTTTCGGGAGGATGTGGAAGAGGCGGTTGCAGGCCGCCTCTCTTGCCTGGGAACTGTCCATCATCAAAACGGAGAGGAGGGTTGCTCACAAGGACTGCCAAAACAGGTTCGGGTGCGAGCAGGCTCGGGGTAATAGGCACATTGCATGTCTTGCCTGCGCCTGTGGCAAGCTGTCCAGGATGCTTGGCGCCCAGAGCTTCCTGCGCCATGTCGCCGAATCATACGGGAGTGGCGGCCTCCCCCTTTGACGAGGAGTTAGATGCCGCTGGTCAACGCTTCGGTGTTGCCCATGTGCGCTGCCCGCCGAGGTCGCTTAATTCACGCGCCTCTGGAAATGTACGCTTTCGCTGCGCGGGCTCTGATGGTGCAGCAGGTCGTGCTGTGTGGCTGCGGCGATTCAATTCATTCCGATGCCGCTTGTCAGGAAGTGGGAGAGGCGGAGGGAACGGAGGAAGGATGAAGAGTAATACTGAGGAACAGGGAAGGGTTGCGCATGATTTTGTGAGGTGGTACCAGGCCCTGGGGGGGAGGCGCGTCGCGACATGGGCCGAACAGGTGCCCTTCGCAAAGCTGGCTTCGCGAGGGCGCGAATCTGACCGCGCATCGCGGGGTGCGATGCGCGAAGCTACGGTCACGAAATTTGGCGTAGCGCGTCGTTCCGTCGATTCTGGCCCCTCGCGCTTCGGCGCGCCACGCTATCCACATATCGGGCACCAGGCGTCGACGCCCCGATCTTTTCCCACCCCGCCCGGCGTATCGGAACGACACGCAATCCGCCTGCAAAGCATAGCGCGTCGCTGGGGCCGCAGCCGCGACACGGCACGCGAAAAGTCTTGACTGCAGGTGGGCGATAAAAAAACGGGGACGTTTGCGCCGACATTCGTGCGTAAGCGCCCCGCGTAAGGTCGCGCGCAAACGCCCTTATTTCCAATGCAGCGTGCTGCGATGGCGGCCCGCGAAAGCCATCACTTAAGGTCGCCATGCCTTCTTGCGTAAGAGCCGTGTCTTTTCGTCGCTCAGGTGGCTTGGGGAAAAGTGGTCCCGCCAGCGGCGCGCCGCCCTACCTCGCGCGCTGGCTTGGCGGCGATGGCATCGGCGCGCCTCTTCGCCGCGGGCCTGCGGGGCACCCGTCTGGCGGCCCCGCTGGCGGCCGCGGCTTTGTCGGCGCCAGGGCGCCCGCGCCCCGCGCACGCTTGCGGGGGCGGTCCCAAGACGGACAGGTCCTTCGGGCGTCGTCGAAGCCGTCACCGTCTCCGCCGCCGCCGCCGCCGCCGTCGTCGTCGTCTTCGTCGTCGTCGTCGTTGTCGTCGTCGTCGTCGGCGCCGATGTCGTCGTCGTTGTTGTCATCGTCGTCGTCGTCGTCGTGGGGGGGGGGTCGTCGGGGTGGTGGTGGTGGTGTTCGTCGTCGTCGTCGGGGTGGTGGTGGTCGTCATCGTCGTGGTGGTGGAGGTGGTGGTCGTCGTCGTCGTCATCGTCCATCGTCGTCGTCCGTCGTCGTTATCGTCTTCATCGTCGGGCTGGTGGTTGTTGGTCGCAGTCGTCGTGGTCGTCTTTGTCGACGTCGTCGTGGTCGTCGTCGTCCTCCTCGTTCCAGCAAGACCTGCCACTTACGACGGCAAGAGGAGCAGGGTGACCTTTGACATGTGCGGCCAGATCATCTTGGGCAAGAACATGGACGCGGCCTCCGACTTCCACCCCAAGGGCCAGCAAAGGCCGAGGCAGGAGCGGTCTCCACACACCCGCTCGAGGTCTGGTTCCCCTCCTGAGGGTTGTCAGCTGGTGGATCCCAATCACGTCTTCTGCATCATCACGAGGGCAGTGGGAGCGGAGGGTGAGCAAGGTCGAGCGCCCAAGGGCAACATGGTCTGGAAGGTGGGCCAGAAGTAGCGACCCGCGTGCGTCGTTCAGCCGAGCTTGGGGGCGACGGTCAGCCGCTGGACAATCAGCGTGAACGGATCGGGGAGGCAGCACGCTTCCTCTGTTAGCGAGTCACTTCTGTGGGCTGCAACAGCGAATCTCAATGTAGTCGATGCCCAGGCCATAATCTTTTACGCCAAGGTCATTCCTTTGCGTGGCCGGGTGGGTATAGAAGAGTCGTCGTCCGCCGCAGTCGTTGTCTTCGTCGAGGTGGTCGTTGGCGTCGCCGCCGTCGTCGCCCTCGTCGTGGTCATCCTCGTTCTCGTCTCCGTCCTTGTCCCCGTCCACGTTGCCGTCGCTCGTCGCAGTATCGCCCCACCCCGGGGATCCCATTGGTTTGCCCCTGGCCCGGGGCGCCCGTTGGCTACGACACCTAATTATCCCGAGAGATAGTCGATACCATTGGTTCCCCCCGTGGGCGGACGCGTTACGACCCCAACCCCTCCCTCCGCAAACAAAGTTGTTATGTGTGTGAATGTGTGTGTGTGTTTGTGTGTGTTTGTGTGTGTGGGCTTGTTTGTTTGTTTGTTTGTTTGTTTGTGTGTGTCTGTGTGTCTGTGTGTCTGTGTGTCTGTGTGTGTGTCTGTGTGTGTCTGTGTGTGTCTGTGTGTGTTTGTGTGTGTGTCTGTGTGTGTGTCTGTGTGTGTCTGTGTGTTTGTGTGTGTGTGTGTGTCTGTGTGTGTGTGTGTGTGTGTGTGTGTGTGTGTGTGTGTGTGTGTGTGTGTGTGTGTGTGTGTGTGTGTGTGGTGTGTGTGTGTGTGTGTGTGTGTGTGTGTGTGTGTGTGTGTGTGGGGGGGGTTGGGGGGGGGCGCAGGCCCTGACGCATTTTTCCGCTGTCGTCTTGGCGCTTCTTGTGTTCGTCACCGTCGCTCCCCTCGTGCTGAACCTCCCTCCGCATCTGGCTCACCTCTCCTCGTCCTCCTCCCTAGTCCTCCTCCTTATCGTTGTTGAATTCCTCCTCCCTCCTTCTTCTTCTTCTCCTCCTCCTACTCCTCCTCATCCTCCTCCTTTCCCTCCATCTCATCCGTTTCCTGTTCCTCCTTCTCCTTCCTCCCTCCTCCCTCCGCCCGGTTTCTTCATCACCCTGCCCCATTCCCGTTTTCTTTCCAACAAAGACAGGGGCGGAGGAGACCAGAGGAACATGAAGCGGAGGAGGAAGAGGAATATGAATATAATACTAGCACAAAGAATACATAATAATTAGACTAACTCTGTTGGTGATCAGACGAAGAAGAGCATTACGAATCAGAATCCGAATATTAATACTACGAATAAGAA